ACCGAGGCACTCCGTCACCTGCTGATGGAGAAGAATTGAACAGGGAGCATTCAGGGACCACTGTTCCCTTATTATGATTGTTTTTTTTTTTCATGGACAAAATGAGCACACCACCAAATCTCCATGATTCTGCAGACAGCCAGAGTTTGGGACTTTTCCTATAAAATAATAATTTTTCAAGTTATTTCTGAAGCTGTAGGACCAGATGGCTGCAGCTGGCCAAGGCAGCTCTGCCTTGAGTGCTGGCTGTGAATGCCACAGCTCCTGTCCAGGGATCCTAATGTGCTGTTGTTTTGGGGTAAATATCTGCCTTTCCCTGCTCACCTCCACAAGGGGAACCAGTGGTGGGCAGCTAGGAAGCGTGCTGGCTCTCCCCGTACTGGTTTGATGCAAGTGGGCTTACAGAAGGGCTGAGGATCTGGTCCCCAAGGTAACTGGGCTGTAGAAACTGGTGGGAAGGAAAAAGGAAAATAAAGCAGGTGATTAGCGTGGCATGTATGAGGACATGCCATTTATTCTCCTCCTGAATGTTCTTGCCCTGCCCTTCAACTCTGCCAGCCGGGGCCTTTCATGGCTCGTTTCCTTCTGCTTAGCTGTGCAGTTGCTGTTATTTATTTATATGGTTAATGCGCAAAGTCCTTTGAGAATTCCTTTTCCCCTTTAGTCACATCAAATGGCCACAGCATTAGAGCACTCCGCTTTGACAGGCTGAGATCAGAGTGGGAAAAGTTAAAAGGGTGGCTGCTTCCGTCCTGGAAATGATTTTTGGTGCCAGCAAACGGGCACAGCATGCACGCGCTTTGGAAGTGCCCTCAGTGTGCTCCTGGTTCACACCTTGCCCTGGCTTCATGCTGCCATCGACTACACCTGCAGACAGAGAAATAAATAGTCCAGGAGGGCAGGGACCTCTGGCATGCTGGACTTTCAGGTGATGCCTGTTGAAAACCCTTTCATAAATTCAGAGTGGAAACCTGAAGCTAATCTCTGAGCATGGGGGGAATGGGGAGAATGGGAGGGATGTGTCATTGCCAAGTGTGTGCTGAGAGACTCTGGCACAGGTGAATGAAAAGGTCCACCAGAATTAAAGCAGAGAGAGAAACGGGCTGCCCTTGACAGCAATCTATCCAAGAGCAATTAGTCCCCAGCTGCCATCCAGGGAGCTGGAGGAAATTCTTAACTGATATGGAAAACTCCCTGGTGCCCAAGGATGTTCTCCTCCCATCCGGGAGGCTGAGAAAGAGTCATCGGGTGACAACTATTGCTAATGTAACTGAAGACAAAAAATGAAGGTCTTTCTTACTGGTTTGAACTAATGAAGGTTTTTTCTTACTGGTGTCAGAGGAGCCTTGAGGCAAACCCTGCTTTCCTTCCCTACCCACAATAGAGATGAGGATCATGAGCAGAGCTCTCCGCATCAGCTGGAAGTGTAACATCTCCTCTATCGAGCCCATTCCTTTGTATTTAAAAATTTTTCATTCTGCTTGTAGATTGTGGGCGATGCTGTGGGCTGGGGGTTTGTGGTCCGAGGAGGAAGACCTTGCCACATCCAGGCGGTGGACCCGGGAGGACCCGCTGCTGCTGCGGGCATGAAGGTACTTTGCTCGTGGTGACTTGACACGAGGCAGGATTTATGTCCTGCTAGAGACTGTCAGGCTGAATGCATCCCTCTGTGATATTCACACCTCCTGAAGTGGAGATGGAGCCTGCAGAGTGCTCTGGCCACGCTGTGAGAGGCCTTGGGAAGGATGCTGTCCACAGGCAGAGCGCAGCGCCTTGCTGCACGCAGCCAAAGTGAGCAGGGCAGGAGTAAAGATTTATTTTGACTCACCCATTGCTCTCACAGCTCCCGAGATGTAGTGCTCTTTGTGTCTGTCTGCTGTTAACACCACAGTTCTGCATCGAACTATTTTCCATGTTTGTGAAAGATGAGTAACTTTAGGCTGATACCTTGATTTGATTTGTCAGGTAATTCCCAGTATTTGCAGCTCAGGTGAAATGATCTGAGGTCCTGAAAATCATCTCAGACCTGTTATCCAAGCATGAGTGGGTTTTGTGTGTAGGCCTGATTTTAGGAATGAATGAAAGAAATGAGTTTCAGACTTCCCGTACAAGAATCCCAGCAGTGAGGGAGCAGCTTCTGCAGGCTGGTACAACTCTACAGCCACGTGGATATTAGAAATAATGGGATTCTTCAGAGGCAGCGTGCGACTCCTTGTTTGCTTCAGGCAGGGTTGGAAGGAGGAGGCTGAATACATTTCATTTGCTCCAGAGCCCAGTTCATTTTTCCTCACCTAATCTCATTTGCTACCAAATTACTAAATGTTATTACTGTGCCTCATTTCCATTTGTGAAATGAACCACTGCTCACAAATGAGTCTCTTCTCTCTCTGTTAGCTCAGTCTAAATCCCTTTGGCCCCTTTTTCATGATACAGTGATTATAGCCCAGTGATTATCAGCGTGGCTTACAGAGTGACAACGCTTCGGGGTTTGAAGCATTTTGTAGCAAGTTATTTGCAGCGCAGCCCCTGGCTCCAGCCAGGCACGAGCAGAAGTTTCTGTGACTGCAGCGGCTGCAGGTAACCAGCCCTTCCTTTCCCTGCAGGTGTGCCAGTTTGTGTTCTCAGTGAATGGCATGTATGTTTTGCACCTGGACTATCAGACCATCAGCAGCCTCATCATGACAGGACCACGAACGCTCGTCATGGAAGTCATGGAAGCTGTTGAATGAGCGAAGGAGCCTCGTGCCACTGCCGGGTGGAGAAGCAGGACACTTTGCAAAGTGATGACGGACTGTGGGGAGGGACCGAGCTTGACCTTTCAGCCTGAAGTGTTAGGTGTTCTAACATATTTTCAAATAAAAACATTGTAAAGGACAAGGCTTGGATTTGGTTGATGTTGAAATATGTGGCTCTGCCTGCTCTTGAGAGGGTCTGAGCTCCTGCAGCCCCTTTCTGACACTGCTGGGAGAGCTCCGCACACCACGAAGCCAAGCCTTCGACCAAGCCATCCACACAGCGAGCTGCGAGGCGAGTTTACCAAGAGCATAACGTGCTTTCCAGATGGCCCCGTAAGCTGTGCCATCATCTGTGTTCAGAAAATAAGGAAACACTGCAGTGATGTGCACTGCCTTGTAAAGGAAGACCAAGCGCCCTGCAACACTTTTGGTGTAGGCACGCAGCCAGGACTGGTTGCTCTTCCCAGCTGGGTTTCTTGTAAAGGTGAGACTTCTGCAGGAGCTCTTTCTGTGCCCCTAATTCCAGGTGATGCTTAAATTAATTAACCAGTGTCATCTCGGCATGGAGCAGGGCAGAGGTCCCAGAGGTTTTAGGCTGCCACCAACCTGGTGACAGGAGGCAGAGGGGGAGAGGAGAGACCTGGAGCGGGGTCAGCCTGCTCCCAGCTCTCAGAGGGAAGGGAAATGAGTGAAAGCCACCAAAATCCATGGCTCCTGAGCCCTGCTGCTCCCAGGATGACTTCACTTGCAGACAATGTGGAATATTCATATGCTGCCTACTGGGAAAGTGAACCAAACGTAGACTAACAGGTAATAACAAGAATCTGGGCAGGTTTCTTGCTTTCCAGTTCACAGAGCATCCCTGCTCGTATGGATGATTTCCAGCAGTCCTGCTTAGGGCAGGTCCCTCAGTGCAGATCGGACCTCCACCCAAACCAAACAACCAAACAAAAAGCAAAAACACCTGGTTATTGATCGCTTTAATTTGTCTCTGAATGGGAGCTGACTTTCTTGGAAAATCTTGTGCCAGCCTTGTGTTAGGTATTGCAGTACTGCTGGCTGCCTTTTTCATCATGTAAGGGGACGTGTGCTTCCTTAGTGCTGGTGGGGAGGAATAGGACTACTTGCAGCTCAGTCTTCCTGGAGCATGGTCCAAGCAAGGTGTCTCTCCAGACCATAGCCAAAAGCAGTCTTTTAAGCCTTTTGTCAACCTGCTCAGAGTTGTTCTACCTAGCCATACTGTGCACAAAGCAGCATCCCTCTGCCTTTTCATTTTTTAAATTAGGTTTTGTATTGCTGTTTAAAGAGGTGCTAGGCACCTGTGATGGCCACAAGGTTTTATCCAGAGTGACAGGGCTTGAAGTAAAGGAAGACAAAGCCAGAAGTTTTGCATGGCATTTTATTGGCACCTTGGAAAAGGAGGCTAGAAAAGAACAACACATATGTAAGCACGGGAAGCAGCTTTAGTTTTTCGCTGTCATAAACAGCATAAATTTTGGCTCTAGGTTTGAATTTCCCTGAAAGTGAAGTGCAGGAGGTGTGTGCTCTTTCCTTTCTCACCACCTTCTAGCTTTGTAGTAAACTGTCACCAGTCTGAGCAGCTGCTGAAATCCGGTAGGAATCACAGCAGAGGCAATTTGTGGTATTTACATGTAGGGCTGTGCCAGTTATGTGTTCACAGGCTCCTGTACCAGGTGCTCTATATTTTAAAAAGTCTTAAGTGCTTTTTTTTTTTTTTTTTTAGTGTTTAAAGGAAGAGTTAAAAGATTAGTGTCTTTTATAGAACCCTTCGTCTTCTATATTCTGATGCTTTCAAATAATTAGTATTTTAAATTTAAATCTTTTAAATTATTTTAGGTTATAAAACCAAACTTCAACAAAGTAACAAATAATCGTTTAATGTATAAAAATATATTAAAATGGTGTTTTTTTTTTTCCATCTGATACTTTCAAAGGTGCCCGTGTTTCCTGGAGAACGGGCGATGCACGTCTCCTGCAGCGCACTGCTGCAGTGTGAGGCCGATGTTGTCAGTCCCCAGGGACCCAGCTGTAAATCTGGTCTCCAGTCGTAAGGAGAAACGCTGCTGTCAGTTGTTCCAGTTCTTGGCAGTGGGGAGAAAATCTTTTTGGACCAAGTCCTTGGCACGGAGCTGGGTGGCTCTCCTGGGGCAGGAGCGCGCGTGCTGCCGGAGGTCAGGGCTGTGAGCACAGCTGGAGCGCCAGCTCGTGATTCAGGCCCTGGGCTTGCAAAGCCTCCAGATGTGCTTAATTTCCTCAGCCAAACGCCAGACAATTAGCCTTCAGTGCAAAGGCCGGGCTCTCAGAAGTATTTAATGGGATGTGAATGTGGCTGGGCTGACTTCATCCCCGCGAGCATGACAGTGGGTGGGAGCCCCGACTTGTTGCTGAGCTCTAGGAAATCAGTGCGCGGCTTCCTAGATGGAGATTTAGCATGTAGTTAGCAAAAACACTGCGAGCCGTTTGCTGATTTTCGCAGAAACGGGCTCTTGCTTCCCGGGCGTGCTTTATTTAGCTGCGTGTCCGGGCCGCTGCTCTGCCGCGTGGTGCAGGGAGGTGGGGGAATCGCTGCCCCCCTCCCTCCCCTTTCCTTCTTCCCTTGCTGGCCTGACGTCTGGGGCTGAGATCTCCCTCACCATGCCGAGAAGCAGCCAAAGCACCAGGGCTGCTTCTCCCAGGACCTGAGGATGTAGCAGGATCCGTCCCGCCTGCGGCTGCCTGCAGGAGAGCCGCGCTGCTGCGCACAGGTCTGTGGCTTGCTCGGTGTGTGGGGATGGGGGTGCAGGAGGGGCTGCCTTGCTTTGGGGTCGGTATTGGTGGAGCAGGGAACTTCAGCAGGGTTTCCAGCTGTGGGAAGGTTGGAGCAATGCAGCACGGCTGCCCTGAGGGATGGCAGCAGCCCTGATGACCTCAGGTCTCCTGTTTGCTGCAGGCCAGGTTGGAATATCACCAGGACTGCTTTATAGAGAGCGCTTGCTTCTTTTGGCATGTGAGACATGCAGTCAGTTTGCCTTTTTTATTATTTTTTTTTCCTGTTCTTTTGTGGTTCATGGTGTAAATCTTGCAGGATTTTTATTTGGTTTTATTTATTTTTGCCAAAAGGATGGTGCTTGGAAGGGTTTGCTGGCAATGGCAGCTGTAGGTGCGTTTCTCCCACCTGTGGGCACGGTGTGGGTTTGCACCAAGCCAAAGTTTCTAAGTTTGGGGACCTGCAAGGCTCTGCCTTGAAGCAGGCATTGTCCCTTACATTTTGGGAGTGGTGCTGGGGTAACTGAGGGCTTGTGTTCACTAGGGGAACTGAAATACAGATTTCCAGGAGAGAACAGAAGGGGTTTGATGAATGGTGGGCTTCTTAGTCTGTTTTAGGTCCTTTAACTAGCAAAGTTCCTAGGGAGCATGGGACAGGTTTGCCCCCTGCAGTGGGCAGGTGCCTGTCTGCTGCAGGACAGTCCCTGCTGCCACCCCTGTGCGTGGGCTGCGAGGTGACATCCTTTGGGACAAGGAAGGGCAGAATTGTCCCTAAACCATGAGCCAGCTTCTGGGGCTATGGAGGTCAGAAATAATTTGCAGTACCCCAAAGTTTCCACTTCCAGCTGTGCTGATTTAAAAATACCGCAGGGATGTTTTTGCTTAGAAATCATTATTATTTTTTCTTTAATTAAAGTGACTATTTAAAAAATTTCCCGTACAAATAAGGGGATCTCAGACTGCCTTAACTTCCAAATCCCCTCCGAGCATGCAGCTGGGACCAACGGGAAGTGGTGCGTGTCCCCCTCCCATTTTCCAGGCCCTGGAAATACTCACCACATGCTCCATGTGTTGCTGTCTCCAAATTCCTTCCCTGAGCGAGTAACAGGAGAGAGGCATCGGCGTGCCGGAGGCTCCCTGCACTCCACCAGGCTGAGGTCACCATGGTCCCCCCCCCCTTTCTGGGGACCACAGCTTGGTCTGGGTGGTGGTGGCACCAGCAAGGGCAGGAATGGATGGGAAGGGGCTACAGGACGCAGGTGGGGGCTTGGTGCCCAGCAAGTAACCCTGCTGGGCAATGAAACTGCTGCTCTCATCCTCCACCATCTCAAACAGGTTATTTGTTATACCTGATTGACTGGTAGGAAAATGGAACCTGAAGAAGAGGCAAAGCACGGATGGTTTTGAAGTTCTGTGTTAATACAGAATTCATCCTTACTGGCACAGCAGGGTGGAAGCTCCTGGCTGGCTGTGACCTTGCAGGAGCCCAGCTCAGTGCATGTTGCAGATGCACACGTGCTTATTTCGCTGCACTTTGGATCTCATACAGCCCTGGTTAGCACAAAAATCCTGCCCAGCCCAGTGCTTTTGCTGGGGGCTGGCTCCCTGTTTGCCAGCAGAGCCACAGGAAAGTGGCATGGAAATGAAGAGCAGTTTGGTGGTATTGCAAGATGTCTGCATTTTTGACAAACACCCTGACTGAAAGGTTCATTTGTGCTGTCTCTCCTGCCTGGTGCACATACCTCTGCAGCAAGGGCAGGCTTTGCTCTCCAGAAGAGCACGGCCAGATTCCTGAAAGCCACCTGTAATCTGCTTCTCTTTGAGCAATGACTTCACTGTATTAGCTGGGGGAAAAAAAAAAAGAAAAAAAAAGAGTATTTCCCATGGCTAAGGGCTTCAGTTACATGGCAGTTGTTCCATATAACCTGATCTTCAATCAAAAAAAAAATATATATATATCACAGACTATCATGCATGAGCGTGTGTGCAGGGGGAGGGTGGTTAACATCTCTCTGTTACAACTTGCATATTTTTCCATTCATTCTTACAATTTAGAACTGATTTAAAATGCAGGAGATCATGGCTAGGTCACCCATGTGCATATTCATTTTTCCTTGAAATCCCTAAAAAGCTGATGTATTGGAGGAGAATAGGCATTTGCCAGGAGCCTGTAAATACCTGTCCGCCAGAATGAAGAGAAGTGAAAAGTCACTGCAGATGGCAGTGGAGGAAACTTGTGTGCGTGGTCTGATTGTGCCAAAAGCAATGAGGCTGAATTGTGCAGCACGAAAATGACAGATGCCAATGATGCACTGCAAAAGGCCAACGTGTTTTAAATCTGGTATATATTGAGGCTGAGGCCAGGGAGAGTCTCCGTGTCCATATGTTAGGGTGGTTTTGTGCTGCTCTGACTTTACTGACCCAAACCGAACAAACCCTATATCCAGGCCAGCAAAGACAAGGACCTCGAGGTCTGTGAGCTGTAGGGTGAGTGCTGAGGAGTGGCTGTCCTCAGCCAGCCAGCTCTGGAAGCACTGCAGAGGTTATTTCTAAGTCAAACTGATCCTCTGACATGATAAAGTCCATAACCACATCTGTTTTTAGGTGAGCAAGTTCAAACAAGACCATCCCAACACGTCCTGGATATAACTTTGCAGGAACTCCACAACAAAGAGCAAACAAAACTCTTGTTTTTAAGCTGTTGAGACACAAACTCGGTGGCATCCCTTCTGCTGCATGATTGCTTTATAACAGCAACTGCAGAGACACAAAACCCGTGGTGTGAGGAGCTGTCTGCTCCTCTGATCAGCGTGTGCATTGCTGGGACCAAAGACCAGATGTGGTGTTTGATCACCTCTATTGATTTGGGTTATATTAATTGGAAATAATTACTCTGTATTACTTAAAAGGTGTATTGTACCTCTGCTGAGGTCGTGCTGCCAGGAGAGCTGTGCAGGACCAAGTGAGCTGAGCCTGCTGGATGAAGGATGAAGCCTGCTCCCCATCAGGTGTATCAATGCGATTTAGTTCTGGGCCAAGGCACTGAGCAGTACTGGAGAGACCAAGAACACAAAATAATATGTAGGAATTGCAGCAAAATTCAGTATGTCCTTCTCTATCCACCCTCTTGGTGCTGTCAGTGTTGTATGCCTCAGATTGTGGGCCTTTAAATGGGGACTGCAAGAGAAAATAGACACTCCTGCCCCAAAATAATAATAAATAAATAAATAAACAATAAAAATAAAAATCACAGCAACATGCTTCAGTTCCCAGGGCCATAGGAAAGCCCAGGTGGTTACTACATGGGGGATAGGTAAGCAGAGGGGATTCCAGGGTGGAAGAATTCATGCAGGTGAGGTTTGATGTGGTGAAATGTCCCTTGCTCTCCTCCTTCCTGACCTTTGCCGTCTCGCAGGTCCTGGCCACCATGCTGATTCGCACTTGTTTCCTTTTTGCCTGCCTGCCCGTGGCGAGCCACGTCTGGGGACGAGGGGGCCAAGGTAAGGAGCCGTCCGCCCTCGCTCTGGGGGGAGCGCTGGGGGCATCCCGTGGGGTCCGGCTGCCCCCTGGGTGAAGCTCGGCCTCCGCCCTTGTGTGGTGGAGCTCCAAGCAGCCCATTTCTACATATAAAGAGTGACGGGAGATCAGGGGGCCCTTTGGGGGAGGATTCCCATCCCACCCACCCTGCAGTGCCTGTTCTCATCGCTGGCAGCAGTTCAGCGCGCCGCTCCCTTGCACCGGGGATGCATTTCAGCCTGTGTAAGGAGTGAGGGATGCTTATATGATCCACATTTGGAGCTTGAGAACCAGGGAGAAAAAGTGGTGGTTTGTTAGCTGCCACATCTGTCCTGCTCTCTGAAACTATTGCTGTGGAGCTGTATGGTGACACCTGGTGCAAGATTTAGGTAAGAGAGCACGCGAGGTGCAATCCTCCTGTACCATGCAGCGCTCCCACAGTGCCATAAATCAGCAGAAAATACCTATAGCATCTCACCATATCCTGTCCACCTTTATATTCCATATAAATCTCCATGGAAGGGATCAGTACAAGGTGGTGAGTGCACATCAGAGCCAGGACAGACATATCTCCATGCCATGCATCTCCCAGATGTGCCCGTGCAGTGTTTCCAGGCTTAGTTCCCCATCCGCCGGAGAGCAAGGTTACAGCATCAAACAGCTCACATCCAACACGGGGCAGAGAAACAGTGGAGCTTTCATGGCACCAGGGTTCATTTGCATCCAGCACATAATGGTGCCTCAGAGGATGCTGTCCTTTCACATCTGTCTGGGGACATTCTTGCCTTTTTGCTGGGCTCCTAGAGCGATGGCCGAGGAGCTGGACCACGCTCATCCAGAAGGAGACAGCTCCATGTTTCATCTAAGTATGAATCCCCCTCATTGTTCCCTGATCTTTTACCACTTCTCTTAGGCGTGACTCTGGGATTTGGTTTTGCCCCTCTTCCTTCTTCCCCATGTTTTCTTTCTTCCCTTTCATATTTGCCTGGGGTGACGTGAATCTGAGCTTTGTTCCCCCCGGATAGTTATGTGCTTGTTGGGCAGCCCGCAGGAAGTCTCCACAAGGAAATATTAGGGCACAGACACAGGGCTGGGACAAGCAAGTCCTCGCTGCCAGCTCTCACTGCTTTCCTGGGCTCTGAATTCATGGCAAAGCTGTCAGGAGATGGCTGGCATCATGCAAAACCAGATTAGGGACCTGAGGAGTCCTGTGCAGCACAAACGGTTTGCCAGTACTGAGCAGGATGCTCCGGGTCACCTTAAGCATTTTTTATTTTATTTATTTTATTTTTTATTTATGAGTAATGATAAAGGGAAAGAGATTGGTAACAACTGCAGACGAGGCGGGCATTTGGGTGCAGATGTTTAAACCATGCAGGCAAAGGATGCGCTCACTCATGGCACATTAGGGCAGCCTGCTGGAAAGGCAGATGTAGACACAGGACCAGGGAGGAAGGGAATTAAATTTGCTGAGTTGCCATCCTACAGCCAGTCAAGTGAAAAAGCTTCATATGGCGGCATTTGTGTGACAGCACGGCTGCATTTCACCAAGGAATCACTGACTCAAAGTGACACATGGGCTGAGACATTTAGCTGGGCTTTAACAGATCTCTGCCAAATCTGGAGCTGATAACAGAATACGCTCTTTCTTTGTTTTACCTCCTTGTCCTGTACTATTTTTTTCATCAGAATTTGCCATTTTAGTTTGCTGCTTCCTACAAATTGGCACGAGCTGGTGCCTGTGAGTTATGGTCCTGCCAGGAGCTGTTATTTGCAATTTATCAAGTTTTCTTTGTTCCTTTCTCCTGTCTTTTTTTTTTTTTTCTTCCTCTCTCCCATTCCCTCTTTCTAGACTGGAGCTGCCCCTGAAATAATCTTTTTGCAGGATGGGATCCATCACCTGGGGCATTCCTGTATTTTTTAGCAGCCTGAGCCCATTGAGGAGCCTCGTTTGTCCCTTTTATCTATTTCCTGTCCTTCCATTTCAGACATTTGCACTCTCTCTGAAACCACACTGCATGAAAGCTCCCAGTGGTGTCTTCCAGGGTGAGAGAGGTGCAGAGAAGCCCTCACCTCCCGCTGGGCTGCTTTTCCTGGTGGCAGCAGAGCTCAGTGAGGTCTCACGTGGTGGCCCCTGGTGGGTTTCCTGGCAGAGGGGTGTCAGGGGATGCTGAGCACTCAGATGGGATGCTGAAGGTCCCCTCTGAACGGCAGCAGACCCCAAATCCTCAGAGAAGGCAGCGTGCGGGGTGTTTTGTGCGGGTGTGTGCAGAGGGAGGAATCACATCCCTAACAGCACGGACACCCAGGGGCTCCTCCTCCCCAGGGTCAGGCCGCCTGAAACTCACGGTCCTCTCGGAAGACAGGCTCCAGATGAAATGGAAAGAGACCGAGGGGAACATCAACGGCTACAAAGTGCGGGTGAAACCCATGGCAGGTATGTGCGAGCACGTGGGATGTCAGATCCAGGCAATTGATCTGTGCATAAGGGACTGAGACAGTAGGACTTTGGGGTCTAAATCGTGCTGGTGCTTGGGGTGAGATAAGGCAGAGGGAATTACCTGTTGGCTGGTTTGGCTTTAAGTGCTGATTACCTGCTCGTGCAGGGTGGACAAGGAGCCTTCCTGGCCAGCACGGACTCAATCTGTAGTGCGTGTTCAGAGAGAGGTGAAATTCAGCCCCGTTCCCCCTGGGGGAAAGTGGAGCAGAAAACAGATTCATGGTGCTATGGTTATAACTGGCACTGCTGCAGTGTCTGCCCTCATCAGGGTCTTGCTGGCCTTATTAGGGGGGCTCCCTGCTCTCCACCAAGGATAGGATGTCCTTGACCCCATAGAAGGGATGCTCAGCCTGCTGGCTCCCTGCCCCAACCAAGCTCCTGCTCCCCCCGGTTTCTGGCAGTGGTGCTGGAAGGACACCACGTCCCTTGGTGTCTGGAGGCAACCCTAGCCTCGTCTGGCATTTATTTTCCAGTCACAGCCACTTCCCCAGCTGGGTGGGGAGAGCAGGGCCAGCAATGCTCGTGCTCGGCCGCCTGCTTTTAGCTCAGCCCCCACCTGTTTGCCCAGCCGGAGCTGGAGGTTTCTCATTCCTTCCCTGCCCTGCTCCTCCTCGGGCCTCAGCACAGCGGCGGGGAGCGATGAGCATCCCGGGAACGTGGGGAATCCCCCAGCCTGCACATGCCTGAGGCTTTCCCTTTGCGTGGGCTGGGGAGCTCCGTTTCCAGCCCTGGGGACGGTGGGGTCAGAAATGCATCCATCTGCACAATTAAAGGCTCATAGATCTTTCTTGAAAGGGGTTTTAGGGAGCTGCTTTGCCTCCCTCGCTTTGTTTCATTGCTGTGGTCCCAAAGATTCCCCGCAGACGTTTGGCTGCTGCTTTGCAGAGCTGCCTCGCTCCATCTGCTCGCTGCCATGCCAAGGCAGAAATGTCCCAGTTTCCAGCTGCATCGCAGCCCCAGGACAAGGCTCACGGCCTCATGAGGCGTGGCTGGAGGACCCCCTGCAGCAGGAGGGGTCTGGGGGTAGTGCTGGTACCAAAAATGATCCCTCTCCCCACAGAGGACAGCTTCTTTGAGGGAGACATGGGACTTGCAGAGAGAGCAGAGCAAGAGCAGCTGAAATAAGTAAAAATGAGTCCCAGGTGCCACTTGGGACCTCCAGAGATGTCAGACCACTTCCTCGCCCTGCCACACACGACATCAAGTACATCTCTTGGCTGGATGTTTTCCTAGGTGGCAGCCCAACCTTTGCCCTCCGAAGACTGGGTTTTCAGGCAGCACCTCCTTGAGAAGTCGGTGGGAGTTGCGCTAATGCTGGGTGGGAACTGGTTTTCCATTTGGGGCACGTAGCAGGGATTTAAAGAAGTTTTTCTCAGCTCTGGATGGGGGAAAAAAGATTCCAAATCAGAGATCCGCAGAATTAAAAAACAAATTAGAGTTGACTGAGGTCCCCAGCCAGACATTCTCGGCATTTTAGCGGCGCTTTTTCTACTGTCAGCTTAAATTTAAGCTCTTGCAATTTCTGAGCTGTGGCTTCATCCCACCTCAGGGGACTCGGAGCAAGAAGTCATGCTGAAAACCAAGACTCCCAAAGCCACCGTGGGGGGGCTGAGCCCTACCAAGGAATACACACTGCAGGTCTACGTGCTCAACGGCTCCCAGGAAGCCTTGTTTGCCAAGAGGAAATTTGTGAGTAAGTAGGAAGAGCTACGTTTTACCATTCAGAGAGCTCTTGGAGGTACGGCTCTGGCATGTGCCGTGTAGAATATGCCACAAAATGGAGCTTTTTGGTATTTTGGTTGCAAGCTTGGACAGGGGGATGGTGGAGACCCAGGGGATGAGGGATGGACCGTGGCTCACGGAGCTGCCTGGAGTGACTTCTTATTTTTGTTCTTCCCACAGTAGAGGACCTCAAAAATGCATCCCAGGCTAGAAACAACCGCAGGAACGCGGGAGCTGCATCGGGAAAGAATCTCACCTCCGTGGGGAGCTCAGCAGCTGAGCACAGCGGGGGCGCAGAGCCCACCCCTCCGCCCCCAAACGCTGTCTTGGTGCAGCCAGGTGGGTGCCCAGACCATCCTGCAGTCACAGAGGATGGATTTTGAGCCTCTGCCATGCTGCCAGCGAGAGGAGATATGGAAATTTTCAGGGGTTTTGCTCTGTCAGGGATGTTCTTTCAGTAAGACGCAGGTTGCATGGGGATAACACAAGGGAAATTTTTTTTTTTTTATTTTTTTCTTCTATTTGGAGCACAGCAAAAGACAGAGCTGAAAAGAAAAGGCAGAAGGGGGCTCAGCCCAAGGGCTCAGGAGAAGCCACGAGAAGCCAGCCCCATGCAGAGGCCAGTGTGACACAAACACCACCACCAGCCCCAAAATCATCCCAGCGCAGTCCTGCAAGCTCGGAGCGAGAGTCTCTAGGAAAAGAAAAACCCACAAAGGATTCACTGAGGAGAGGTGAGAGGGGTTTCAGACACGTCCTGCTCTTTCTTCCCCACTGTTTTCTCCAGTGATTGTTAAATACGAGCCCCCAGCCTCCAGCCCTCTCTCTGTCACCGAGATTTTAGGAGTACAGGTGCTGCTGCTACCACTCCGATTTGCTAAGCCATACATCGGGGAACTGCCAGGGATTGCTGCAGAAGTTTGGAGTTCTGCAAAACATCACAGATTTAAAGGCAAACTGGAGCTAGAACAAAAATTCCTCTGAGAGGGTTTAACTTATTTTCCTCTATTTGCCCTATTCACGTTGCCACCTCTCCCTGCTTCAGACAGACCCAGGCAAGTTTTTGTTCTCCAACAGACCCCAGATCCTCAGCACCAGCTGAGGATGTGGCAGGGCAGATGGCTCACAGCACTTTTGAAGTGGTGGATAAGGCATTGAGCAGAGCATCCCCATTTGGTCCCTCGAGAGCAGCAGGAATTCATGGCCATGAGAAGAGAGGAGAATAACCCCTTGCCATCCAGATGCAGCGGGTTGCAGTTATCCATTTCCCTCTACCAAAGATGGGAAAAAAAATCTGAAAAATACTCGGGGAAGATGCAGTCGATCAGCAACATGCCCTATCTTATCCTCTGTTAAGCTGCAGGCCTGGGGTGGGGAGAAAGGCAGGGCTGGAGGAGCTGTGATGCCAGAGGGTTTTTACGGAGAGATGGGATTTAATATAAAGCCACAAAATAATTACAGCCCACAGGGGATCTCACGATGGAATGGAATTAAGCAATCACCTGCAGTTCTTGGAGACTTAGGCTAGATAGAAGGGAAGCAAGGGCTGGGGCTGAGATGTAATGGAGCTGACAGCTTGCAGAGAGCAGAGCTTGGGCAAGGCACGCTCTTCCTGGCAGGCTTAACCCTTTCTTTGTGGAAATGGAGCTGCTCACCACTCTACTTCTTGGTACCGAGGTGGTTGCCCTTAGCCAAGGGTTTTTTCCAAGGTGCTGGGATGTGTCAGGCTGGCAGACGGTCCAATCTGCCGTCCAGACAAGGTCTTATGCTGCAGGTTTGCTTTGTATCTTAAAACTGAAGTGTTTTTCCTCCTTTACAATTCTTCTCTCAATGTCATATGTTATTCCCCTGCAGGTTCCCACTTTCAGTGTGACACATCTGCAATGACTGATATCGTCCTGCTTGTGGATGGATCGTGGAGCATCGGACGCAGCAACTTCAAGCTCATTAAGGAGTTCCTGAGCACTTTAATTTCCCCATTCAGCATTGCCCAAGACAAGATAAGAGTAGGTAGGACACTTCCCTGTTTCCTGACCTTGGGAAATCCCTCCAGAAATACAGTCTGTGTTTGAAGGGAGCTTGCTTTCCATTCCTGTGTTATCGTGCTGCCCCAAGGAGCTTTTATTCCTTTAGGCTGGGGTCCTGCATGCTTCTCTTGACACTTTCCCACCCCGCAGCAAGCAAGAAACAGCTGCACAGTGAGCAGAAGCAATGCTGCATGGGCAGCACCCGGTCGGGTGCTGAGGGAGGGCTCGATGCTGAGATACATTTGGGGTCTGTTGCCTGTCTCTGATGGGATGCTCAGCCTACAGAGCACAGCACAGAAGGATGTGGTGGCAATGCCACAGTGGAGATGCTGTGGGCTCAGTTGGGAATGGTGCTGCTTCCAGTTGTGAGGGATGCTAAACCCAGCAGATGGCACTGCCCAGGCTGTGTGTGAAACTGGGCAGTGCAAATCCTTCCTGCTGGCCAGTTTGACCCTGAATAACACTGAAGCCTTATCAAATGCAGGGTTAAGTACCACCATGGAGAGAAGTGGAGCTAGTAGCCAGGTCTGCTCACCCCAGCCCAATTTTTATTTTGTGTCACCCTACCACGCCAAACTGACTCCTCCTACCCAAAACAGGAGCTTATCTTGTCTTGCATGATGCCAATAGCTCTTTCCTTCCCCAGGGTTGTCCCAGTACAGCAGCGATCCCCGCACGGAGTGGGACCTGGGCGCTTACACCACGAGGGAGCAGGTGCTGGAGGCAGTGAGGAATTTGCGGTACAAAGGTGGCAACACCTTTACAGGTAACCCCATCTCCCAGATCTCTGCTAGATGGGATGGCATCTTCCATGGGGAACAAGGCCACTGAGGGCAGGGAGAAGAATAAGGGCTGGGGGTTGTCTGTCAGGCTGTGGCACCCCATCCCTCTGTCCTCCTCCCCAGGCCTGGCACTGACCCACGTCCTGGAACAAAACCTGAAACCAGATGCTGGCGCCCGGCTGGAGGCTGAGAAATTGGTAATCCTCCTGACTGACGGAAAATCCCAGGATGATGCCAACCTGGCTGCTCAGACCTTGAAAAACATGGGCATAGAGATATTTGCCATCGGTAAGATCACAGCCATTGATCGGCCGTGGGACAGAACCAACCTGCTTCCACTCTTCTTCATGCTGAGGGCTATGTTCCCTCAGCTTGGATAAGAGCATCCTGAAGTTGTGAAGGTAGAAAGTAGGACCATGTTACATCGTGTCTGAGAGAAGAAAATTAAGCCGTTTATTCAGCGCAGGCAGTGTCTTCAAAGGGGCTTTAGTTAAGAAAACAAGAAAACAAAGTTGTTCACATGAGAGATTTTTCACCTCCAATCTGTAAGGACTTCTGCCAGCCTCAGAAACCTGTGCCATGAGAACAATGTTCTCAGCTGTGGAATTAGGCAAGAGAACATTGTATTGGGGAGGACAGGAGAGCTCCTTTGTAATTACTGCCTCTCAAACTTCCCATTTCTCTGAATAATAATGTTATCTGCTCTTCACTAGCTGGCAGTAATAACGAGACAGAAAATGGTCTTGAGCAGCTCTGTCCTTGAAGACTGAAGTCTGCTAAAGAGTAATATGTAGACGATAAACTTACATAGAAAACTCTCCTAAAATTGCAATCCCCAACACTTTACGTGCTAATTTAAGTTGAGAACACAGAAGCAAGGGGTTATTACATGGGGCTATGTACCTAAATGGCTGGCACTGGGATTTCTTTCATGGACCGAGTGTAGCTGCTGAGCCTCAGCTGTGTCGGGCAGCATGATGGATTAACAGCTGAAATCTCTTTTGGAGGTCTGGTCCTGTCTGGGTTCTGTGCTTTTCCTCTCTGGCTAGAGGAAAAAACATTGTTTTGTCCTTAGACATCAGGACTCGCAGTGCTTTTGAGATAACTCAAGATCAAAGGGGGGAAGGAGACGATCAGAGTTGTTAAGGTTTGGACTCAGACAAGCAGGTGGATCCCTGGGCAATGCTCAGATGGCCTTGACGCTGGCAGTGGAAAGCAAACTCAGCTGTGTGCTGCAGGCCAGGGGCAGGAGGTGCTCCCGGCTGAGGCCTGTGCTCAGGGTGGTGCTGTGCTCCGCTCGCAGGGGTGAAGAACGCGGACGAGGCCGAGCTGAAGCAGGTGGCCTCGGAGCCGCTGGAGCTCACGGTGTACAACGTGCTGGATTTCCCCCTGCTCAGCAACCTGGTCGGCAGGCTCACCCGGGTCCTGTGCGCCAGGATCAAGGAGAAGAGCAAGGAAAATGCAGGTGAAGTGAAACCTCTTAGTGAGGGCTGAGCTTTCTCCCCATTGCCAGCTTCCTTCCTTGCTCGATCCTCTCATACCTATCCATCCATGAGCTCCACCACCTTCTCAGCACCATTTAGCCCTTCTCCTCCCATGCTGATCTCCTTTCTCTGCCCTATTGCTGCCTGGAAATGTTCCTTGCCATGTCAGCATGTTGGCCATTGTCTTTTACAAGACCCCCTCATTGTCTTTTACAAGACCCAGCTCTGCCAATAACTAGCAATAATTAGCACTGTAGGGAAGAGGGGGCTTCTATTCAGTCCCAATTATCCTATTTTGTCATAAATGTGTTATGACCTTCTTCTTCCCTGAGTTTATTCCACCTAACAGGAGGAAGAAAAAGCAAAGGGGTTAATATTAGGGAGAGTATGTGGAGGAAATAGGAAGAGGAGATAGCAAAATATCTAACTATATTTTTCCCACCCTTTAAGAAATCTCCAAGGAATCTTCAAGTTAAAACCAGTCTATTATTATTTTATTATTATTATTTTTTTTTTTTTTCTGGAGGGCAGCTTGTGTGATGAACAGGGGAGTGAAGAGCTACTCCAGATGTTAGCTTAGATTCCTCAGGAGGAATATCATGTACATATTTCCATCTCTCTCTGCTCTAAGATTTGCCTAAGGAGAGCAAGAAAGCCAAACTTTCAAGCAGACTTTTATTTTAACACTCTGGAGATTAATAAAAATAATTACGTTCATTCTTATTAATTTGTACTTGTTAGATGTTTTTTTTGAAAATACGTTTTGACATATTTTCACAGATGCAGGTTAGCCTAAAGAAAGATGTGTTGCATTAAAAAAAAAATCAAGATAGTCTTATATTTAATTTTAACAGACCTTCATAATTGAAAAATCGTCTTTCGAATACATGCAAAAATACAGATTTCTGTTGAAAAAATATTCCCAGCTCCCAGCAAAATGCACAGCCTGTTCTCTGTGGAGTATTTATGTTCCGGGTGCCCAGTTTTAAAATATTTATTTAACAGCAGTTTGGAACTGTTTCTGTGCTCTGTAGGAAAGGGGACTGCAACTTGGTTCGAAAAATGTTACTCGTATTTATGAGCTAGGAAGTATGCTTGGTATGAGAAGTCTGAACATGAGAAAGTAATTGTGTTTTTAATTACTAGGTAGCACTGTGAAAGATATCCCCACAGATATGGGTCCCCAGCTGAGCCCAACTGACCTTAAAATATCAGCTGTGACCTCTAAGAGCATGCACTTGACCTGGAGTCCTCCTCTGAGACCACCAAAGAAATACCGGATTGTGTATTACCCATCGAAGGGTGGCACCCCCAAGGAGGTGAGGGGCCTTTTTGGCCATCCGAGGCTGTGGTGCCTTCCAGGCAGTGGCTGGGGGTTTTGGTAGGCTCAAGTAGATGCAGAGATGAGGGTAGGAGTGCAGTTATCATAGGGCATCAGTGAAAAACAGATGAAATTAAACAAGCACTGAATGCATAAGCAAAAAGCTGAGAGGATGGCAAGACAGAGGAGGAAAAGGGATGAACATCATGTTGCTGAAACTACTGCAAGCCATGCCGATGCAAAGTTTTCTCTTGCACAGCATTATCCCCTCCCTAAAGCATCTGTTTTGACTCAAGACACGTGGGAACACAGATTTGTCCAAGGACGCTGATCTGTGAAGGATATAAAAATTTGGAAAAGCAAATCCGAATACTTGATGGATTGCCCTTAGTAATATAGTTTAATTTTTGTTTAGGCCTGATGTGATAAGACAATTGGTCTTGATTAGATTTGTAGGTCCCTTCCAACTGAACTGTTCCATTCATTTCCGAGCGTGTTTAGGGGCTTGTGCTTGGTGTTTGTACAGATCCACTCCTTAGAGGACAGAAAAGTTCACAGCCTCCAATCTCCTCATTTTGGGGAGGGCAAGAGAGCTTCCCCAGAGATACGAGCTGTCAGAAAATTCAGAGGGCAATCAGACTTCGTGTTTCTGGGCGCAGATGTGCTACAAATAAGCCATGCTAGCCTTTTAGGCTAGGCTTTTTAGGCTTTTTAGGCTGTTCTTTTGCTAGAGGGCAGCTGACACCGCCCTGTCCTGACAGCCCTCCTTTGTGCTTTCAGGTGATTTTAGATGGAGCAGTCTCCTCTCTGAGGCTTTCCAACTTGACCTCGCACACGGAGTATCTGGTGTCGGTGTTTCCTATTTATGACACCGCTGTTGGGGATGGGCTGAGAGGCGTCACCTCCACACGTAGGTCGTGAGTAGGGAGGATCACTCCAATGCATGGTTGTGGTAGGTGAGCAAAGCTCTGTCTTTGCAACCACCTCAGTCTGGAGCCTGGCATTGTATTTCCCACCTCCCTGTAGTTCAGATGGTCCATCTACAGCTATCTCCATCCTTGGAGATGTTCAGAGTTTGACTGGACAAGGCCCTGAGCATCCTTCTGTAATCTGGCCCTGCTTTGAGCAGCAGAGTTGGGCCACAGACCTTCAGGGGTCCCTTTCCACCCATGTCATTCTGCACCACCACTCACCACCACTGTGCTCAGCTCACCCTGTCACGGCAGTAACACATCATGCTAAAAACATCTTGCTCCTTTGCCATCACTGGGCTGCAAATGAAATAACCCCATTCCTTGCAAAGTGAGCATCCAACTGCGTTAGACATGGGATGGATGCCCACCAGCTTGCAGTAGCTGCTGTAAACCCAACTCCCCTTCAGGGTTTGAGCTCAGACCTCGCACACTGAAGCTGCCCTTTCTCTTCCCCCAGTGCCTCTGTCTTCTCCCCGCTCCCTGCGCGTCTCTGAGCTGAGCCACAACAGCATGAGGCTGAGCTGGAAGGCAGCCCCGGGAGCCACGCAGTACCTGGTGCTCTGCTCTGCAGCCCCTGACGGAGCAGAGGACTATACGATGGAGGTAGGGCTCATGAGAATAACAACAATATTGGTTTTGCTCTGTCTGGACTCTTCTCAGTTACTTTAGACCAAAATGAAACCCTCTCCATGTGGGATTTAAGTAGTGACCATTTTATATAGAGAGCAGACCCGAAACAGGAATCTTTGGGGCTCCAGGGACAGAGCTCATATCTGTGCAGTTCCCAGAGTAATTTCTGTATCCTTGAGGCTGTACAGAAATGCCTTTGTTTTGTTTATCTTAAAATATTAATTAAAAATTTGTTAGGGCAATTTTCACTGACCTTTAGAGAGCGAGCTATGACACCATATAAAAGTAAAACAATGCTCAGAGAGTGGAAAATTGCTAAAAACTTCTCAGGTCCCTTTGTCATGTTGCATTTTAATAAGTTGTCTGGAGTACCTGTACAAATGTGCATCACCTCTTTGACTCAGATTCCGCTCCTGATGGCACAGCAATAGCTGCAATTAAGGCTTGTACTCTGCTTTAAGTGTACAATTACATTTTTTTTGAAACATTCAGAACATTTGAAAAGAAAACAACATTTACATTTTTATTTGAGCATATAGAGCATTTTTTCCGGTTGCCTACCTATGGGATGCCTGATAAACCAGCATTAAAATGTTCCCAGCCTTTTATAAATCTGTGCAGACTTCTGTTAAGTCCCCAAGGTGGATTTCTGCAGCGAGCAGGCTGTGGCTGTGCAGTGTTAGCGGCAGGTGGCAGCAACCCAGCCGCTATCGCCCTGCTTGCAGCAGGCAGCTCCTCTGCAAGCCTGGCTTCCCAGGCCCCCGAGGAAAATGGGATTCTCACCTCTCACTTAAAACCTCAAGTTCTTTGCTCTGCTTCCATCCTCTCTCGCTGTGTGACTCAGGGATGTTGGTGCCTCAGTGTCCCCAGGGCTGGGCTCTGTCCTGGGGGGTGTCACTGCAGGATGTCTGCAAACAGAGATCTACTCTAGCTTCCTGCTATGTTGTTTTCCTTCTGGGGGAGACTTTCACTAAAAATAGGGCTTTGGGATACTCCAAACTTAATATTTTCAGTGATGAAAGCTGTTCTGCTTTCTACTTTCCAGTTCATTCTGATTTAGTGAATTTCCCAGGAAAATCACAGTGAGATTTATCCTTAAAAGTAACAAATCACTTCCTGCTCACTTCAGATAACTCCAGATCCACCAAAACAGTAACATCTCTGTACAAGACATTGATACCCCAGCAAACCATGGTGGGAGAAAGTGATGTGAACCCCAGATGTGCTTGGTATCCCTTGGGAAGGGAAGCAGAGATGCCCTGAGCACTATGAAGCACCTCTCCGAGTGTGCAAGCGTCACTAGTGATACAAAAGGGACCTTGGCCTGTGCCTCTGTAAGGTTTTGCTCTGCTGATGGTGTCAGAGGGTGCCCCCAGAGCTGAAGGGTGCCCCAAGGTGGCTCTTTGTTGCAGGTGAAGGTGGCCCAGCCTGAGGTCCTGCTGGATGGGCTGTCGCCCAGCACAGAGTACTCTGTGGCCGTGTATGCGATGTACGGGGAAGATGCAAGTGATCCAGCCAGCATCCAGGAAACCACCTGTAAGTGCTGCTGCTATTAAAGCTGTTATTAAACCCTTCAGGCAGGATGGTTTTGTTACAGGAGGTACTTCTCCTATTGGGCATGTGGCTTATAAACCCTGCCTTATATTAAGCAAATATCAGTCCCTGAAGGGACCTCTAATCCCTTGGTGAGCTGTGAAAAGGCGTGATTTTCCTGAAAATATTCATGAAGAGAATATTTTCCTCCATGGTGAATGAGTTTTTTGCAGTGCCCTTGAGTCCCCCCCGATACCTGAGCTTCTCCGAGCTCAGCCACGCGTCCGTCCGTGTCAGCTGGGAGGCTGCATCGCAGGCGGTGAAGGCTCACCACGTCACCTACGAGGCGAGCGGAGGGAGCAACACCGGGGAGGTGAGTGCCCACTATGGGGTGCCAGACACTGCCCTCTTCTCAGGGAGCAGTCTGCTGGCAGGATTTTAACTCCAAAACGGGTGTTTTTGAGGCAGTTGTCAGCCTTGTGCCCTCTGCAGCTGCCTCCACGCTTCTCTCCTAACTCCTCCTCCTCCTCTTTTGCAGGTTGAGGTTCCTGGCACTGCAACATCCACCGTCCTGAGGCCTTTGTCCTCCCTTACCCAGTACTTCATCAGTGTCAGGTCCACGTATGATGAAGGCGACTCCTTCCCGATTACTGGCAACGTTACCACCTGTAAGTAGGGAATGGAAATGGGTTTTGTCCTGTTTACAGGTGGCACAACTGGCTTGTGTGTCTGAACCAGGATGCTTTGAAGACTGGTCCCAGCAGGTTATGACCCAAAGCCTTGCACAAAACCCAAATGTCTGATTCTTTGTGTGGTACATGCCCAGCTCTGTTATGTTTAAAATGGGGTGGAAGGAATAAAGGAAGGAAGCAGATGAGGGAAAAGCACTGTGTGTTGCTAACCTCCGCGTCCTTGGGAGCGTTCTCCTCTTTACAGTACCAGAGCGACACATGTCCTCCCCACAAATGAAATAATCCTCCTTAATTAGGGTTTTAAAAGTGATTTACCCCTCTCTGTCCTGATGGCTCTTGTCATTTGGGCCTGAAGACGCGAAAGACAGGCTGGGCTCGGACATCTGCTCGGTTGGTGTGTTGCTCCCCGACCATCTGCTCCCCACCTTGGCTCTGACGAGGCGCTGTCAGCGCTTCAGCTCCGTTTCCTTCTGTGTCCCTCAGTAAAGGTCCCCCCGCCGCGGGCACTGAAGGTGACCGAGCTCTCCGGGAACAGCCTGCGGCTGCAGTGGGAAGCTGTTGCTGCCTCTGATGTGGTTGTCTATCAGATCAAATGGAGCACAGCCGCTGGGGAGAAGCCTCAGGAGGTATGGACCCACGCACAGCTGGGGAGGATGGGTTGGATTTGGGTTTGTTTGGTGGCTCCGTGCTCACCTGCAGGAGTGGCAGGGAGAGATGCAAATCTTTTGGGGTTAATGGGCTCAGGAAATTCAGCAGATCACCATCACTGCCTATGCAGTAAAGACTTAAAGACAGGGTCTGGCCTGAGTCCCTGCTCTGCACATTGCAGTCGTCACCTTGAGTGCTGGAAGCAGGAGGGACAGCAGGGCGGCAGGGTCAGAGTCCTCCAGGCTCTTTGAAGATTGCAGAAGTGTACTGGAAAAAACCTCAAGGATGAAATTCAATAGGGACAAGCAGAAAGTATTAAGCTTAGGCAGGAATAATTAACTACAGGTATACAGGATGTCGAATAAACCGCTAAGAAGCAATTCTGTAGGAAAAGATCTGGGGTTGCAGAAAATCACCAGCCCACAATGTCAAGTTGTTGTGGAGAAGACAAAGATAATACTCAAGTATATATGGTGGTGATAAGCAGTGACTGCTTTGGGGATACTGCTCCTCAAGAAGGATGAGGACAACTGAGGAGCATACAGAGGAGAACGACCAGACCCAGAGCTGATGCAGCAGGGGAGGGGATGGACCAGGTGGCCTCTTTCATCTCAAGCCCTTATTTTCAGTATGAGTGCAAACAGCAGTTGAAGTGGATCAAATATGCATGAGTCTCCTATAAAAGGCTTCACATTTGGGCTGGAACGGGGGTATACTGGGGCTTCTGTCCCCAGTACAGCTAAAGGATGGAAACTGAGCAGATGGATTTCATGCTCGTGGCAGGTTGGCTACCTTTTGTTAGAGCACTGTCCCATGGTATTGATATAGCTGTTAAATATAACTGGCCAGCAATGCATGGGCATCTACTCTGCATTAATTAGGGCTGGAACTTTGCCTTTGCTTAGATTTGTGCAACCCACAAGAGTTGACTTTGTCCCCAAAGCCCTGTGCTAACTCGTTTGTGCCTGAAGGCAGTCTGTGAGCCAGACCTTTGGATGGCACGAACTAGCTTGGGGAAGCCTGGGGATTCAACTGACTCATTTCTTGCCCTGCTGTAGCTCTCCATCGCTGGAAATGTGGCAACTGCCATCCTGCCAGGCTTGCAGAAGAACACAGACTACAAAATATCCATCTGGGCCTACTACAAAGATGGTGCTCGAAGTGACACGGTCTCTATTCAGCACAGGACCAGTAAGTGATCGATGCTCAGTATCCAAAGCCCTGGGATAACAACGAGGGCATGGGATCCCTCAGACCCAAGCACAGACCAGCAGCCCAGATCTGTTCTTCTGCAGCTCTTAAAACCCAAACCTGAATGTCTAAAAGTGGCTACAGATATTTAGGTTCCCATCTGAGCCATTCTGAATTTCTCCTGAGAAAAATAGTCTGGGCAAGCATGAGCTGGCTGATCCATTTCTTTCCCCTTCTGCATGGTGTATTGATGAAAATGCATCGGCTTTCTGTAGGGTGCTCAGCTGAATGTGCTGCCGTGCTGCCTAATAAATGTTTCCTGTTAGTAAAATATTATCTGCTAAGGAGGGTGAGGACTTTAACTACATCATTGCTGAGCTGTGCATCATCTGAGGGCACTTAAAAAATGAGAGAGAATCCTGCAGGCAGACTCTGCATGGAAGCATTATCTAAATCTCGCTTTGTACTGGCTGGATATGAGGTTTAAAAAGTGGTATTCCCAGAGGTCCTCTTAATTAATATTGCCTGTATAATGGCTTTCTTGGCAGTGAATGGAATACAATTCATTCAGCAGCAGCAATTCTCTCCTCCATCTCTCAGCTCTCAACCTCTTTTGCAGAATAAAGTCTTTTAGGCTGGTGTTGAGCTGATGAAGCTCAGAGTAAATGGCAATCCTGGAATAAGAAGCTCAGGTTTTATTAATAATGAATAACAATAGCATTTGTTTACAGAAAGCTAACCTCAGGCAAGTACCTGGGAGCTGCATGTCAACAAGAAAAAAATAATAATGAAAGCATCCCACAGCTCTATAAGAAAAAAGGGAATATTAGAGCTGTTTAGAGGCTTCAGAAAAGCGAATGACTATTTTAAAGCACAAATTGCAAAATGTTAAAGGAGCTGTCTCAGCCCGCTGCAAATGATACATGATGGTGCTCTTCTAGGTGCATTTGGGCAAGCAGTCCTTGCTTGGATCCTGGGATTCCTCCTATGGAGGAGCAGGGTGCAGAGGCTCAGGAGGCAAGTGAAAAGCACAGATGGTGTCCTCTGTGCCAGAGGTGCTTCCTTCCTCATTGGCAGCTTCAGGAGCTGACCTTTCCCCTGGCTGTCAGATCCATGCCATCAGATTCTGCAGGGCCTGTGGGCTTCCCAGAATAAACCAGACTTGTAAGAGTTTACTTAACTTTCCTTTTGTTCACTTAAACAGAGCCTCCACTTACGTCAGCTGAATGAAATAGCCAATGCAGGCAGCAGAGATGCAGAGGTATAGCACAGCACTAATAATAGCGTCGTTGAAGTGACTTTTCCTCCCACACTTGTTTTCTTCTCTGCTTTACCTTGCGGTGATGCACAGCAACAGCCTCCAGCCTGATTCAGCTCCCAGCAAAACTTGGTTCAGCTTCAGGAAAAGTAGGCTCATTTTATCCAGAAAAAGGGAAGGAAGATCAATGAAGATGCAAATAATCTTTGTTCAACGTGTGCTCTAAGGTCACCTCAGACTTTGCTGGGTGGGCAGAAGGGCTTGTTTGCACTGCAGGTAAAACTGCAGAATAGAAACTTCATAGCCTGGGTGTGTGTCCTTGGCTGCCTTTAGGGCTCACTCATCATTTTTAGTCTCTTCTGGGGAAAAAAAAGTTCATTTTTCTCTTTCCAAGACTTCTTTGTCTTCATATCAGTGTGGGTTTAAGGCCAGAAGTTTGTACAGACCAAGAAACTGCTTGGAAACAAACTCCTGGAGTAGGTGACCCCATGCTCTTGAGTCCTGTGTTTGAGCAGTGGATGGATTTAGCCCCCTCTGTCTTTCCCCAGCTCCTGCCCAGAGAAATCCCTCCAGCATAACAGCCTCTGTTGCCAGATCCAGTTTGCTACACAGCAGGACCCCAGGGAAAGAAATGCATTTACATAATTAAAAGCTGCTCAGCTTTTATCTCCGGCAAACCCTGTTCGTGGTGACCATGTCTCAGCCCATCACCCATTTGGGATACATCCACATGTTGTGGTGCAGGGCCAGGAAAAGGGGAGTAGCTCAGGCTTTGTACATGGGTCCCCTCCCTGAGGCTGTGGGTGGTGGTGTGAGAAGAGCTAGGCAAAAGTGCTGTGTGCTGGAAAAGAATTATTTTAAAACAAAGGAAAAGACGAGAAATAGTAGAAATGATGATATATGAGCTTTGATCCAGGCTTAACCAGCAATCAATCTATTTTTACACTTTTTCCAGATCTTTGCTGAAATAAAAGTACAGTTTGGTCTTTGTGGAGGCTGTTCTTTGGTGTTTGTCCACGATACATACAAAGGATCTCTTTTCCTCGTGTTTCCGGAACTCTTCTCCCCATCAAAGATTTATTTATTTATTTATTTTCTTTTTTCTGGTCCCAGGCTTTGAATTTCTGAATGCTTGAGTTGTGCCATGTTGTACTCAGGCAATCCTCATCCCTCCAGGCTCTGTTTCCTCCCCTGCCTGGTCCCTGAGGTGACTGCTTCTGCTTTGAGCCCTGGTCAGCAGCAGAGCAGTGAAACATTCAGGAAGGGACCTGGAAGCACGCGAGGCTGGTCCCATTTACGTGCACCTGCTACCAAACTTTCACACTGCTCACCTTTAATCCCTGGCACAGATTCCCGGAGCCCACCCACCAACCTCTTCATCGACTCCGAGAGCCCCACCAGCCTCCAGGTCCACTGGAAGCCCCCCGAGGGCCGTGTACAGCACTACAAGATCACCTACAGCCCCGTCTCTGACACCGGTGCTCAGCAAACAGTAAGGCTCCAGCTCCTCTGCAGGGGACAGGCACCAGAGCAGAGGGACACGGGGACAATTTCACACCCAAGGGAGCCCTGCTCACTCCAGTAGGATGTGCCCTAAGGATAAGTGGTTTGCAGGAGTACAAACCCAAGTCTCTTCCCTTTACTTGCTGGCATGGTGTTCTGTGAAGAAGACTTTCAGGCTTCCTTGTGATTATGTAATTGTTTTTGTCCATCAAAACTGCTAAAAACACTGCTTTTTTCTCTCCCTGAACCAGGGAGGGGAATTCTCCAAGGCAGTGTTAGAGGATCTAAGGGTCTACTGCCCCTCTGACTTGGGGAGGTTAAACTTGAACCTTTTAAAATGCACATTTGCAGACAGGTTACTGTGTTATAAGGATCATTTGACCCATCCGCAAAGGGAACATTGGGAATTTACATATTTACATAGGGAAATGCATGGACACAACTTATCTGATGGCAATGTATAGCCAAGCTTCCTCAGTTTACTTTTACCTTTGCCTGAACAAAGTGGGGATGATGCCCTGAGCATGTCTGTTCTGACACACTGCTAGAAATCTCAGTGTAACTCCAGGGTGTGAATAAGAGTTAAAATGGGAAATCTGCCCAAATGCTGAGCTCTTTTTTCCACTCTGTTGTAGATCATGGCTTCTGGGAAAAGCAGCAGTGTGACCTTGCAGTCGCTGCTGCCTGACCGAGCCTACAAGGTCACCGTTTCAGCTGTCCACTACATGGGGGAGAGTGAGAGCACGTCTGCAACGGGCCGGACAGGTGAGTGAACCCATCAGCACATGCAACTTCATTGCCTTTCCTCTATCAGGTCCGAGGTAACCTCTACAGGGGCAGTGATGTCCTTGCTTGCACTGGGCTATGGCTGGGGCCATGGTTTTGCTCAGCAGGGTGGACTGCTAACCTGGAAAAGGGAAAATCCTCCCCCAATTTCTGCAATTTATTTGCAATTCAAGGATGAGCAGGAAGGGCTGGTGGCCATGCAGATCTTGAGCCAAGTGTCACGGTTCTGAACAACAGAGCTCACGCGTACGTTGCTTTCTCTTTCAGCTACTGTGATATCTAAACTGCCTTCAATACGAGGATTCGTCCCATCTAAAACAGAAGGTAAGTCACCCATAAAGGCTGGCTTTGGTATTTTATTTATTTATTTTTTTCCCTGTAACACATCACACAGCATGGGTCCTTCAGGACAGGCAGGAGCTGGTGTGGCACTTCTTGACAGACACCCCTGGGGACTGCAAATCAGTCCAAGGAGAGGCTGGAACCACTTAACCTTAAAAGCAGGCTCACCCAGTAAAGAAACTGATGGGGGTATTTAAAGGGTTTCTGCACAACTAGACCAAAATGGAGCAAGGAGAATGATGACATGTTTTAAATTAAAGTTCCTTGTAAAGTCCCTTATTAAATTTAATGAGCATATGTTCTCCTCGTTGATATAAAGCAAACTTTGAAGCGGACTAGTTGTTGAATTAACAAGGTTATAAAAAGCTGTTAAGAAGGAAATACTAGAATACAGATATTGTGGCATTAATGCTTTTTTCCTGTCTACTTGAAATGATTCTGAACAAAACCTGCAGCTTTAAAACTTACTGAGGGAAGCCAAGAAGCAGATTAGATGAGTAAATTTTAGTTTGCACCCAACAAAGAAAAGAAAACTAGACTTGGTTTTCAAGTGGCTTATTGAGGAACTGTGCAGGTGTTCAGATCACAGAGGAAAATGCTGTGAACTTTCAAGTAGAAAACAATTATCCCCTAATGTTGGTGTAAAATTTATTACAGCATGATCACTGGAAAGATCACAGGAGAAATACTAAATTGTGTAATTTATAAAATAATTACTCTTTGAAGAAGTGGAGATAATATGTAATAATTTTGGCAAGTCTGTTGGATGTGCAGTAAAAGACTCAAACACTGATATATAACCAAGTTACTGAGAGAAATGGTCTGACATTGGTGCAGGGGCGGATGTTTGTTGTACAGTGACTGCATTCGGCTGGGGTTTGGGGAGAAAAACAAAAAAACAAAGAGAACAACAAGACAGCAGGAATCCTAGGCTGGGAGTCAATGAAAAATCTTCAAAGCAGAAGTGCACACTGTCAGAGCCAAGGTTCCTTTACCCTGATTCTGATGTGCTTTGTCTGAGCTGAGCATTGCCAGATCAAAGAGCTGCGAGCAACCCAAGTGCTGGAAGGAGGTGAGGACCCACAGGGCACCAGCGAGACGGGACACTGGGGTCTGGGCGAGGGTCAGAAGGAGCTGCCTGACCTCGCAGGCAAGGCAGGCAGATACCTGGTAAATGGGCAAGACCACAGCCTGTTTATATGAGTTTGAAGGGAAACTTATTTTTCTTCACCTTGCTTCGATTCTGAGCAGTGGCTTGCATTTGGAAAGCTGTTTGGTTTCTGTAAGGGGGAGGAAAAGAGCAGGTGTGTGGCTTGTAGACATGTGGGATTGTCCTGCATGCAGGACATTGCTCCACAACCAGGGGCTGTTCAAGTTCAAACAGGTTGTTTTGAGGCTTAAGCTTCAGTAACTGATTTCTTGATGTTTCTATAGATTCCTTTAATGGTTTTATACTCAATTCTATGGAAATTATGGTACACATATGTAAACCTGTGTCTTTGGTCAGATAACGGAGGTCATGGGATCTTGTTAGCCTTTGTGTTTTAACTCTTGGATTCAGCAGTCCCACAACCACCAAAGTCATTTCTTTATTTTCCCTTTCTTTTTGTGTTTGATTATGACTTGATTATGAGTAATTACATTGAACCTCCTTTGGACTTAGGAAGCTCATGTCCCATCCTCCCTGTGGCACACCACCTTTACATTTTTAGATCCTTTAAACAAAATTAGGTATGGACAATTGGAAGCCTTGCATTTCTGATGAGGTGTGAAATGGCATGGATGTAAAAATAGCAATATAAAGGTTATAATGAAGCCTTAATATAATGATCTGCTAGATTCTATTATACAGATGACCTAGAAAATCACTTATGAAATAACCCATCTTGTCAAGTGTCCTTGATTTTCAGGGATGTTTCTCATTTTGCATCAAGCATTCCCTTTGTCCCAGCTCCATCTGGCATCCATGGCCTGGGATTTAAATGGCAGCAGATAACTGAAAGTAGCATTCAGTGCACTGGATCCTAAAACACTCCCTTACCAAACCATTTATATGGAGAGTGCTCGTAACCGCTGGTGCCTCACGTTACAGCCTGTTCTCCCCAGCATCCTCGGATTTTGCTTTCTACCCTGTGGCATATTAGAGTATTTATCGAGTGAGTTTCTGAAAGGGGACCTGCAAAACTTTGCCAGAACTTTTCGTGTTTCTCAAACATGAAGAAGAGCAAAAAATTAGGCATACTATAAGGATCCATGTAATTGGAGTGTGCGATGACACCAAGCTGTGCCTTATACCACGTCAAAGTGCATGTGCAGCACTGCATCTTTCCTCCCTTCCTGGCTATTATTAAAAAAGCAGTTTGATGCCTGAACTTTTACTAAGTGTATTTGGAGTTTCTGTTATAACATTTGGAACTGACGATATGTTTATTTTACAGCGTCGCTAATATGTATGTTTAAGTAAAAGAACTATTAAAAAATTTAAGTGTTTTGATGTCTGTTTTAAAAAGAAGCTTGCAGAACATAATGCTCCCTTTTATTTCATATTGCAAAGTGCTAGGTGTTTTAGTCAAGAGAAAGTGATCCTGAAGATGTTTGATGATGAAAGACAATCCTTTTTTTTGTTGTGATGAACAAGGCAAGGAAGAACCTTCATGTCTGCATAAACATAAATTTTGTACCTGTCTCCCTATCTCTAAACAAGGTTCAAGGTCAGACTCTGAATTAAGCTGTGTAATATTGTGATATTCACTGTTTTTTGTTGTCTTCCATTACTCAGCCCAGATGAATTGTGTTTGTTTTGCTTCAGTAATCCCCTACTCTTTTTCCTCTAATTTTTTCCCTTTTACTTTTCTTCCCACAGCCTGCCCCACCATCAGCTCTGCTGCAGGTTCCATACGAGGTACTGGTGTCATACCAAACCCACACAGTGCTGGGCTGTAAATGTTCAAACAATATCTAACAATACCTTGCTTTTTGAGAAATATGCAAGAGCTGATTGGGGGGAATGGTTTTCCTGCCCTGAGGGAAAGGGGAGGAAGTCTGTGAATGAAACAGGAAAACAGCCTTTATCAGGTGAGACCTGAGCCCCTTCAAATGCTGACAGTGAAGACCACTTTTCAAGCTGAGGGCCAGGAAAGAGTCAGATCCTGCCCCAATCTGAATGACTGAGTGTGTTTATAGAATATGGAAGACGTGGGTTAAATTGCTGCAGCTGCCAGGGACTTGACCCTTGTTCTCATCTGCATCCAGGGTGATTGCTCTTCCCATCAGGGTTTGGGCTATTATTTCACACGTCTGTCTTTGTTGCTCGAACAATCTGGCTTTATATGAATAATTATTATTCATTGGGTGCAAGACAGAATTAATGTGTTGCTTAAGGCTTGTACCTGAGGCGTGGGACAGCCTGCTCCGTTCCTCGCTCTAGTGAACACACAAAGTTAAATGTACGCAGTGGGGTGGGACCAAAACAGGGAGAGAGCAAAAAGAAATGGCTGAAATCATTACATGGCAGATTCACATTATATTAATAATGATTGTTACAATATGGTTATAATTGTATATTGAGCTTTGCTTTGCATTTTTGTACTACTGTGTTTTAATGCAACTCCAGTGCCATGAGCCCCGTATCAGAAATAAATGGCTCAAGTGGATCATTTATTTTAGAAAACACCCTCGTAATGTTATAGGGGAAAAAAGTACAACCTGGAGCAACATCCAAAAACAAAGTAACTCAAACCAAGAAACTGCAGGAGACAGTAAATAGTGAAAGGGTGAGGGAACACAGACTGAAAAGCTCACGTTGTAATGAAGTTGTAGCCCTTCCATTTGCAAGAGAATGAGCTATCTCCTTCATCCCACCCTGCTGCAAACTCAGATAAACTAAAAAAAGAATCCCAATTGCAAGATCTTGTCTTACAGAACAGAAAACTGAAATGAGAAAATGACTCAGAGCTTTAATGATGAGCCAGGGAAGTGAGATGAAGCTGCTTGAGCTGGAGAGGCGATGTCAGGGGAGAACCTCTGTAGGCTGCATAAGGCAGGTCACCCCTGGGTGCCTCATGAAAATAGAGAGGAATGGAAATGCTCATGTTTTAAAGTTCTTTTCCTTTTTCTGTGACTTTTACATATACAGCATTTCAGAGCAGAAATAATTCACTCTTCCTGCCAGCAATTACTGGACTGGTTCCACGTCTTTTGAAGATAGTATTTTTGCATCTATTTGAAATGGAGAATTTTTTATTTTTTTTTTAGAGTAATTTCTCACTTGTTTTTCATTCGGGAGATTTGAAAACAAAATCGTGGCAGTCTCCATCTTTAGTACATCCTTCTCCAAGAGGCAATTACAGCAAATGTATACAGAGGGTACAGACACAAACTGTTTTCCTTGGCTGCCACTTGTGGAACATGCTCCAGGTTTCTAGTGAGTCTGTCCAGCCTTGCTGATGTCTGCTGCTGTGGCCTTTTCTCCTGTTGCTAGCCAGAAGCTCATTCTACCTGCTCTACCATCACACTTGTTTTTTGGCCACTCTTTTCTAACCACTTAATTTTCTCCTTTTCTCTGTCCCAGGGTTTGATATGATGGAAGTGTTTGGCTTAGTAGAGAAGGAATATTCCTCCGTTAAAGGTGTAGCCATGGAGCCGTTCATATTCAGCGGATCCCGCACCTTCACGCTGTTCAGGGACACTCAGCTCACCCAGAGGACCAGGTGGGAGCAGAGCTGCGACCAGCATTGTGCTCGCTGTTGGGCTCATGCATACACATTAGCTGTGCTCACGGCAAGGGGAGATCACTGATCTGTGTATGAGTGATGAAACCCCACCGGCAACTTCAAAATTAAATTGTAAAGATGATGAGCTAAACTTTTCACTGTCTGGAAAGCATGTCAGATGTTTTTGCGTAATACATGAAGAAATTAACCTTGGACTTGCCTCAAGATGAGTATGGGATACATCCTGCAGAAGTTAAGAGGACACAACGTGGGTATTCATTATTCACTTCTGTGCAGCCCAAAATTTTCAATTTCCATTTTACAGAGTCACTTATTTTGCAGCGTTAGTTGCTGCGATGGACATAAGGCTTATGTCACGTACAGGCACTGCACGGTCCTTCAGGCATTCTGCCCACAGCCACGCACACTTCAGTGATGGCATTTTGAGGTCAGGTTTTCATCTTCAGTCCCTCCTCCCAGCATCGTCTGGTTTGCAGGCAGAGCTTCGCTTTAGAAAATATTTGTCTCCTGGCTGCTCTTGGTAGCTTGATCTTTACTGCTGAGAAGGAATAAGCACCGAGGGTTGTGGCTTGACCCTGTTTGCAGTGTACAGAGTCCCAGGGGCCAGGCAGCTCCCATGACCTCACTCATTTTTAATGATAATAAATCAGGAATGCTCTGACTCCTGACATTCAGTGCTACTTTGTTTAAAGCCTAATTACTGAGGCACTGGCTCAGCCTAATCTTAGTTAAAGAAGCAAAGCTTCTTAGAGTACACAGGATGGGGGAGATCCAGAGAGCTCTTTGGTGTAAATACTTGGAAAATCACGGGCAAATCCTTTTCTTCAGCTGGTAGGCATGCCTCTCCAAGGATATTACACCGTCAGAAGCAGAGAGAGAATAAGAAGCTGACATTACTTATGAATCAGTCCTGAAAAGATGCTTGATGAGTTGTGTATGCCCATGCAAATGCATCTTGTTTCAGATTACAGATGTATTTCAGGCATAACCAATTTGACCTTCTTCGCCTCCCTGCAGGTTCTGCCCAGCGCTCTCTGACGAGCTTGGCAGCGGCTGCAGAGGAAGCCAAGTCCTGCCAGCAGCTGCTGACGGGCTTTGCTGCATGCTCATGAGTTCCAGAGCTGAGCCCAAATTCTGCAGCTGGGATGTGGGGACACAGGGGACGCTTTCTGGGGGCTCTGTGCTTATCCTTCCAGGGCATTTCTATCGATTTCTGATCAGACTTAAAACTATACCTAGTGGTGCATGATCATCGTTCTTCCTCCTTTTTGAAGGGGATGCTTGGGCAAGAGTTTTGGAGCCTGACAGCTTGTCTGATATTTTGTAAGCTCTACTTTGACAAGCATTAAATCTGCACTTGCTGCAGTCTTTGGTGCTCCCTGGGGCAGCTCTGGCAGTGATGGACTGACACTGACTGCTCCACCTGGGTCTCCCCATGGTACCAGGGGAAGCTCCTCGAGGACCTCACAGCGTGTGCCCAGCACTCAGCTCAGGCTTTGACAGCCTGAGAGGGATGCACAAAACAGGGTCAGGCTCTCTTGTGGCATATCACATTCAAGTCCCATGGCTGAAGCTTTTCTAAGCTGTCCTGCTGAAGAAACGTGATAGGTGAACCTTGTCTGTGAAGGATGCTGTCTGCTGGCTTTTTACTGCTTTAAGGAACTAATTCCTGTCTCGTTTCAGTGATGTCACCTCTTTGCAATCCCACCTGAGCACACCATCAGCTTCCTCCTGCGCCTCCTGCCCGAGACCCCCAAGGAGCCCTTTGCCGTGTGGCAAATAACAGATGAGGACTTCCAGCCCCTCCTCGGTGTTAACCTTGACCGTAAGGTTTCATGTTGAATACGTTAACTCCAGGTATTTGCATACCTTTCTGCAGGCAGCAGAACTCATTTGGGTATTCACTTGGAAATTTGGGGGGGGGTTACTTTTTTTTTTAAATTTTAATTTTTTATGCAGCAGCAGTTTTCAGGAAGCTTTGTTGTTGCTGGCAACATCACATTTTAAATGCTTCCTTGTGCAGTTAAAAGCTGAATTTTCATTTGTATTCTACTTGTAATATATCCTTCATTTTTACCTGTTATCTTTATTTTCCATTGTTTAGAAATATTTGATTATAACATATGAAATCTTTCACAATGTTTATGCTTATTTACTTATTATTGTTCAGTATGCGAGTGAAATCAAATTCTCTTTTAATTCTAAGTTCTTATTTGTCCTATTTTTCCCTGTAGCCAGTAAGAAATCCTTGACCTATTTCAACCATGACTACAAGGCTGACTTGCAGGAAGTCTCCTTTGACCAACAGGAAGTGAAGAAGATATTCTATGGGAGCTTTCATAAGGTCCTTATCAAAAAAGGGAGAAATGTAGCTCACTATCTCATTCCTCTGACAGTATTATGCCATCAACGTGTATTGTGCAAAGTGAGGAGTGATTATAAGCACTTTGCATCCAGATTGCTAGGGAACCAGCAAACCTATTCAATGTGCTCAAGTTTATGATGGTAGGGAGTTTAGGTTCATCCCATGTGCAAAATGCAATTTTATTGATTGCTTCTTAAAATGCATTGCACATTGGCTCATTTTTTAAATGGTAATGGGGATGGGTTAATTATAAGCACACATAATGGCCATCATTTTTGCATGTAATATATGGTAATAACACAAAATGGCATAGGAATATAATACACAGTGTATATTAAATTAATTCTTTGTAAAAGGCATGCATTTGCCATTTTGGTATTTATTTGTATAGAACGTATTCTCAAATATATGCTTTACTAAGGAGTCTGTGGAAGAGGTGCCTGACAGGGGGCTGCCAGGGCAGTGATGAGCTCTGTCCAGAGGCAGCAAGGAATGAAGGGCTCTTTGGAGACCCGTGGGTCACTGCTATTTTCAGGTTCATTGGCCACAAAATGTTTATTGTCTCTGCAGATGCTTCCTTTTTCCTAGTCTAGTGCCCATCCACCAGGGCTGCCTGTTGAAGAGGCTGTGACTTCCCATGGGGATTGGTGGCTGGTCCCTTGTTTTTACCAGGACTCTTGCTTAAATTTCCAACTCTGGCAATGGGGCAGAAGGCGTTAGTGTGTTGAAAAGTCTCCGTGTTGCGTTGCTGAAGTCCAGCCTGGCTCTTTCCACCCAGGTGCACGTGGCAGTGAGCCGCTTCAAGATCAAACTCTATCTGGACTGTAAGAAAATAGCAGAGAAACCCATCAACACTGTTGGCAGCATCTCTACAGCCGGCTTCATCATGCTGGGAAAAGTGACAAGGACCAGAGGGCCCAGGAGTGGGTCGGCATCGGTGAGTCCCAGGAGGGGCCCGCTGTGGGAACTGGGGGCTTAAATCTGGAGCTGACTGGGGTGTGCAGATGGAGAGGCATTCAATCTCACGTCGTGCTGGCTCTGAACGCCTCCAAAGGCTGCTGTGACGCAGGACTGTGTCCTGATCCTGCTGATCTCCGTGATTTAATGAGCTTTCCTGGCGCAGTGTTTCTCTTCCTCTCCCCTCCTGCCTCTGTTTGAGGTCTGTGAGCAGAGGCAGCAGCGCCAGCGGGTCCCAATGCTTCATCCTCTGGGATGGATGAAGCAAACCCTGCCCCAGCAGGTCCCTGTGGACAGGAGGGGCAGTAAATCACTTCTGAAAGGGAAGGTTGTGACATCTGCCCCGAGTGGCACTGGGCAATGCCAGTGACTGAGGGCAACAGGTCCGGAGGGGCCTCGATCTCCATCGTGCTTGGGCTTGGGTCTCTGCATGCAAATGATGTGAAAACCATCTTCAGGATAGAAGCTCTTTGTCAGCAGCAATTTGAACTGAAACAATCCCAATGCTCAGTGCCAGCTGGCAGGCATGTCCTTATGGCATTGCAGAGCCCCCAGAGAGCCCGCTCCCTACAACAGGACAGAACAAGGAGAAGTTTGGGCTCACTGTCGTGCCCTGCAACAGCCCCATGTGTTGTCCAAAGGCAAAACCAGCCATGTGTGCCATTGCCTGGGAGTCTGTTGCTGTATTTACCCCACAAAACAGGAATGTTAGATGTGCAGAATTAGGGGGAACTGCTCAGGGGGACTGTAGGAAGTTATTCATGGCTGTGAAGATTTTGCTCCTTGGCTCTGCATTTAGCTCTAGGAATGTAGGGGAAAACAGCACGTCAGTTGGTCTGCAACTTCCCTCGCTTCAAAGAAAAGAACAGTTTGTCCCATGTGCATCCCCACCTGCCTCCTTGCAAAGAGGGAAGCAGAGGTCTGGGATGTACCAGGGAAAAAGTGGGCGTTCGAGTTCCCTGTAAGATCTGGGATCAACCATATAACAAGCAGTATTTACTTATTTCCTAAATAACCATTAGCAGCTTAATAAGCAGTTTAGACCGATCACATTCCTGTCAGACAGCAGCCAAGGGGGCAGGAGCCTGTGCTCCCCCTGCCCCTCCTAAATTCCCCTGGCTAACAGCTAGCTGGTGAGGTGTAGCTGACTAACAAACAGCTCCATGCCATCTCTGCTCCCGGTGCTTTTCAAGCCCAGCAAAGCTTCACATCTTCCACAGCTCCGCTGCCCTTGAGAAGACAGTGTCTCATTACTGGTTGTTGTGGAACTTTGTTTTATTTAAGATATCTTTTAATGCTGCTGATCTGTGGGGTTCACCTGTCTGTCTGCTGTGTGCCACGCTCCCTCAGCTGTACAGCTTGCTCGCTGTTACATGCATGGAGTGGAAGGAAAAACGGATGAGAAATTGTGTTAAGGAAATTAAAAAATCCTCTCTGCCTCATTATTTGTTGTTTAGCTCTCTGCAGTGCATGCCCCTGCGTTAATCACTATGGGAAGATGTGGCAGTTGTGAGGGATGTGGTGAGAGAGACAGGACAGGGTTCCTGGGAGGGGAGCACCTCTCTCCTGGGAGCTGCTGTCGTTGTATTCTTACATCTATTCCCCTGAAGGGAGCGAAGAGAAGCTTGTTTTCACATTTTGGCAATGCTGACACCCAATTACTTGGGGACCTGCCTGCTGCTGTGGGTTTGTGTGAAAAATCAGAAACTTGGCTTTTGCTTGGTGACTGGCTTAGCAGAGACCTGAAGGCTGGTAAATAGCTCCGTGGCCAGGGCTACTTCTTTTGGTATGGCTTTTGGGGCACAATTACTGTTGGGACCATGTGGTGGAGTCTGTCAAACCATCACTGAAGATTATTCTAGCACTTGGACATCATGAGGTTTGGGGATGGATCCCGTGTGCCACTGTTACCTTCTTGTCACCTCTCTTTTCTCCCCCCCAGTTCCAGCTGCAGTCTTTGCAGATTGCGTGCAACAGCTTAGGGGCAGAGGAGGACAGATGCTGTGATCTTCCTGCACTGGTAAGACAAGAGGGATGGCTCTGCTAGCCGAGATGGGGCTGGTGATGATGGAACGCTCCCATGGCACTGGAGTGACACTGCAAATGATTTTGGCGGACACAAGAAGTGTCTTTTATACATCACTTTTGCCTCATTTCTTGGGAATATCAACAGGATGTGTCTTGGTGGAGTGAACAAAGGTGTGTTTGCTTCAAAAAGCAAGATGACTGAGTCCCAAGGCAGTGCATATCCCTCCTGTCATGAGCCCATCTCTGACAGCACCTTGACAATCCTAAGGTTTTGCTGCCAGCCCTCAGCCCTCAGGCACAACATCCCCTGCTCTTCCCTTCAAATCCCTGGCACAGAAGGTTGCTTTGTGGGGCGTGTGAATACTTAGCAAGGAGCAAATTATCTTTCTGAACGTCATGCAAATTTCAGGCAGGGCTGGTTCATATACACATACGTGTATACAGCCTAAATGTGCTATTTGATAGAAAAATAAGACACTAGAATTTTTACAAAAATCTCTCTGTGGTAGAGAAAATTTGTGTTTTTCTCCACTGGAAAGATTGACTTCTGAAATACTGAAAATGTTACCTGTCATCCATCCCACTTCTGCTGCATAGCTGCTCACATCACCTCGGTTTTCTTTCCTTTCAGAGAGATGAGGAGACCTGCCCGACCTTAGCTCCTGCCTGCTCTTGCACTTCTGGCCGCCCAGGCTTGCCAGGACCTCCAGGGCCCCCTGTAAGTTCACCCTTCCACATGTTCCTCCAAAGCAGTATATATTGCATATAACTTGCTTGATGCTGTTCAGGCACCCCAGGCTTGAGGATAATATTCCTGGGGCTCCATGAGACCTTATGCTCCATCTCCTGTCCTCATCCCAGGTTAAAACAGAGGGCAGCTCTTTGCTGCCCAGCACAGACCCCAGAGCTTTGTTTCTCTGTGCACGTTGCAGCATTTTGGGAGTGCAACAGCTGCACTGGGAGCAGGCTGAGCATTTCCTTGTGCCACGTTAATCCTCTTAGGAGAGGGGGACAGGCTACCCTCGGTGCGTGTGCATGCAGAGATTTCGTGGATCACCAGCTCTGAAATTCTTTGTAAATGCCAAGACAAAAAACAGAAAGCAACAACAACAACAACAAAAAAACCCTTCCTATCTGGATTCTCTGTTAAGTGGGAGCCTGATGAGTGTCTGCACTTATGGGCAGCGTAGAGAGAAAGGGGAGACTTGGCAGTCCTGCCTGTCCCCAGGGCTCACTCTCTTCACAGTGAGCATGACCTGCAAGGAAACCACGGAGAAAACGGGGAAAGTGATAAGTCTTTAAGTATGCAGTGTGTTCCAGGAAACAGTCTAAACAGATGCTAGGAAATGGTTATCAAAATAAAAATATAAATCTGCATTTTATAAGTTTCAGGGAAACCATTTTATATGTGCACAGCAGCCAGAACCTGACAGCCTGACCTGGGCACCCGATTTTGGCCACTCCAGGTGCTTTTCTCATGGAAAGCAACCATGAAACTACAGCCTCCTTGCTCACCTGGTGAGGCTTTAGATCACCCCTCACATTGCTGTGGTTTCGCTGTGACTTCAGCTCCTTTGCAAAGAACAGCTCCTCGATGCAGTAATTACACGCTCATTCCAGTGGAAGTTTAATTACTCAGCACACTCCGCTATCGCAGTGTGCTTCAATATCATAAGTGCATAATTACCATCTCGCATGGCCCTGTGGTTTAAACATCTCTGCAGTACGACTCTTTAAAGAGCAGGATTCTTTTAAGCATTAGGGAAAATACGGTTTTGACACACAACCTTATTCTCACACCATCAAGCCCTTGGTAATTTGCCGCAGTTACAAGAGCACTCGCTGCTACATTTAAAACTCTTTTTGCTCAAAGCCAGCAAGGCTGTGTCCCACCTTGGGTGTGTCGCTGTCCTTTATTTTTTTTTTTTTTTTTTGAGCATGCCCTGCTGACTTCTGAAATGGGCTTCTGGGTGCTTCTGAAAACACTTTTTGCAAAGCTGCTTGCTTGTATTCCTTAATCCAAATCCATTGTTTTTTTTTTTCAGATTCAAGAATAGAAACTTTCAGATTAAGTTCACATTATTTTAAGGTTCACATGGTATGGTTCATGCCAGAAGATTAGTTTCCTGTCTAATCCAGCAGTTCTGAGGATGCAGAGCTGAGCTGGGTCTCCCCAGTGCCAGATATTGTCCCTGATCTTAGCGTCTGTCTCTTGGGATGATGTTACAAACACCAGCCTAGTCCCAAAGGGCTGCAGGCACAAGCCCCTCTTTATTTCTTCCCCAGCACCTTCCCATCTTCATGTGTGAGCCCTTCTCCATTTATTGCATGGATTTGCTGGGGGATTGGAGGGAGGAGGTTGAAGAGGTTAAAACTTCAGCTCTCCTTGCTGGTGGTGAGTGTGGTGCAGCCACTGCCAGGCACCCAGGGCTGTGCTGTCCTTTCTCCTCCTCTTCCACGTTTGCTGGATGACTCAAATAATTTTTTATTGTCTCCATTTTGTGAGATCTCTCTGGGTCAGGAATGATCTTACATCATTTGTATATAGCAAAATGCGCCAACTCCCATCCCGTAGGCTTTTGTTCACACTGCTGTAAGGATTACGATATTATTAACAAAAACTTTGTGTTTTACTGGCAGGGCAGCCCTGGGAGGAGAGGACCGCAAGGGGAGCAGGGGGAGCCAGGGCCCAAGGTGAGTCCTGGTGCTCAGCACCACCACTGGCCTCCTTTGCAGGGTGTATCAGAGGCAGGATGCGCAGCTGGGTGTGCTCAGTCCTGGTGCGAGCTTGATTCCCTGGGCTGGGAGCTGCCACACTGCAGCACAGAGCCTTAGAAAGTGATGCACTGAGGAGGACGGGATCACATTATTAATTAAATGCTCAGTTGGGCTATGGAAATTGAGGTGATAGGCCTGATGGTGTTGAATTAATGCAAAGTATGTGGTCAGCAATTTTCTTAGAAAGCAGCTTGCTGGAGAACGGTCAGGTTTGTGCTGTGCTTGAGCTGCAGCTCTCTCATTTTCTTCCGTGGAAGATGCACCAAAACCTTGCACCTAAAAGGCAAAGGCAGCTGAGGTTACTGGAGACTCCACTGCCCTGACTTCATCTTGAATGCTGTAGATAGTTCGTGCTGACCCAGGTCATGCAGCACAACCCATGTGGAGAGAAGGAGCTAATTGCTTGCTTTCTTTGATTTCATGTCTTTGGCTTTAGGGTGAACCAGGCCCACCCGGAAAAGTGGGGCCAGCAGGCCCCAGTGGCCAGCAAGGCTCTCCAGGCTCCCAGGGAATCACGATTCAGGGTCCTGTGGTATGTCATCTCTTCCACTGCCTTTTTCTGTCTCCTGCTCTTTGCAGTTAGAACATGCCCCAGAAATCAGTGTCCCCATAATCCTCCCCTCCTCCCACCCAAAACCTGGCCTATGTATTGACATCATCCTTATTAACAGCTAGACAGCTGCGCTAGAGAGAGGTGCTGATCGTTTCCTTCATGCTGATGAGGCCTGGGTTTTAGTCATTCTGGCAAAAAACCTGCTTCTGTCCAGACTCTCCCTAGCGTGCCTTTAATGAAAACAAGCCCAGAGCAGATTTCAGGCATTTCTCTTTGCAGCGATCGTCATCGCTTGGCAAGCAGCAGAGGTGGAGGCTGCTGCGTGCGTGTCTCGGACAGCAGAATCCCCACGAACGTGCTGTGGTTGCAAAGCTCCCTGTAGCATCACCCAGGAGCAATGCAGGATGTGGATGTGTAGCAGCAGGATGCTTCCCTTAAAGGCTGTTGCAGCATGCTTAACCATGTGCTTTTATTTTAATTCAAAGGGACCACCAGGTATAAAAGGAGAGAAAGGAGACACTGGAAGTCCTGGCGTGCAGGTAATGAATGGCAGACACCATTCTGTTTAATTATCTCAAAGATTTGCCTATTTTCTCCATTAACTAATTAAAACAAGGCTGAAAAGCCGTAGAGTTGTACCTGCTGTCTGCTTGGAAGCTGTTTCATTGCGGAGTGTCATCGTCCCAAGGGAAACTGAGTCAGCTGCTGGGAGAAGGAAAGCCCTGTGTGGAAGCTAGAGATAATGCAATTAATGGTGGGGTGACTGTGACTGCTCTGTTTCATGAATAACTCTGTTTCTTCTTCCATCTTTTTCTTATTTCCCTTGTTACAAGATGAAGTAGGAAAATAATAACCTGATGCCAACTTTACCCAGCAATTCTGATTTACAGGGCATTCCTGGCGTGCAGGGAGCTCCCGGCAGGGATGGTCTTCAAGGTGCAAAGGTAAAATACCTCTCAGTTTTTGTTCATGGGCACCTAAAGTCCAGCTTTGAGTGTACCCCGGACATCCAGCTCTCCTAATGCACTGGTGGGATTGGAGTAAAAAAAGAAATACTGGGTAATTTCAGGTTTGGTCAAATTTGCATGACTGACCAGGTGCCAACACTCCTGCCTGCTTGGCAGATGTTTTTACCCATTTCTGTCAAGCTCCTGGTAAAAGCATCACAGGGAGAAACCACCTCACTGCTTACTATGTCTCGTTGAGTCCTCTTGGAAATGCTTGACTGGATTTGGTTTTGCAGGGGGTGAGGGGACTAGAAGGCACCGCTGGGCCCCCAGGACCTCCTGGACCAAGGGTGAGTACATGGGCCATGCAGATCTGTTTGGGATCTCTTCCTCAGCAGGAGCTTGAGGTTTCTGTTGTCCAGCTGCCATCCAAGGGTGTCAGGGCAAAAACAAAGAGCTTAAACATAACAGCTGGAAAAAAAAAATAAATAAAAGTAGTGTTTTTTTTTTTTTCCCTCTCCTTATTTTTTTCTTCCCTTTAAAGGCTCCAAAGGACACAGAAACTTCATAAATAGGAGAGGACCAAGTGATACTCGCTTCCCACGCTCTAACCTGCAGTTACTGTTGTAAAGTTTTAAAGGCAAACACAGGTTTTAAAGGGGAAAAAAAAAGAAAAAAAGAAAAAAAGCCAGCAGCATGGTATTAGCAGTCTGAAGAAAAGGGTTATGCTCTAGGCTGTCTCTAAATCTGAATATGTAATGAAGGAGCTAAAGCCTGTAGGGTAAAAACACGTTGCAGTTTATTGGTAAAACTCAGCTTTGCTGGCCTGACTGTAGTTGAAATACTAATAGGAGATGATGTGAGGATGACTCACACATGGTACACTCTTGGCATTGCCCTCATGGCTGGATGAGGTATTCACAAAAACCTTCAGGTTACAATGCTCTTGCTGGAGTCCTCCAAACTCAAGCTGCTGGTGGCCCTGGAGCTGTGAGGAGACGTCAGCCTTGAAGAGAAAGCAAAAGAAAGTTAGGAAGTGTCTGGACTTTCATCTGCATCTTGTAATTAATGTCTGCAGGGTTTCCAAGGAGTGACAGGCTCCCGAGGCAGCAGTGGTGAGAAGGGACCTCCGGGTGACGTTGGGCCAACAGTAAGTTTCTGCTTGGGGGTCTCAGGGAAGGCCAAGTCGTGAAAACACCAAGTGCAAGCAAGCTGTTCCCATGGCAGCTCTCCCTCAGTGTCTAAAGAAGAGTTTTAATTCACAATCACCGTACATTTACAGCTACACAAAATTCAGCATCTAAACCCTAACAGCACTGGGCTTTTAGGGGCAACCTTGTGTCTAGATGTCAGATGTTTATTCTCAGAAGTTAAAAACCACCCACTATGTTAGGAAACCTCTTCTAAGTTTCTATCTATGGGATTTCTGCATCCCCATTGATGGTGCATGGCGCCACTGCTCCAGCTGCTGCTTTGTTATTCTTTTCCTTAAAAAAAGAGACCTAAATATTCCTGTGAGATCAAAGCTCTTTTAGTCAATGTCATCAGGTCAAGGAAGTTATGAGTGTGTGGTACACAGACCTGGTGCTTTATGTCCTGCTGATGTAACCTGCACCCACATCAATCTTTTATTTTCTTCTCCTCCTCTTCCTAGACATTGACTTTTTTGCTTTCCTTGTAGGGACTGCCGGGTCCAAAAGGAGAAAGAGGAGAGAAAGTAAGTTTTTCTGCTACTGGGCAGCTGCACAGCTACATCCTACACTCAAAAGAGTGGATGTGGTAATTTGCTTTGTGCTTACAGCATGTAAAGACCTTTTTAGTGGAGAATAGCCTAACATATCTATAGCTTGGGGCTTTCCACTCACCTGCACTGGCTCTTCTGATGGGATATAAATAATAAACAGCTGCTTAGTGCCAATTGTAGTAGCAAAGAAGAAAAGCCAATTGCAGATCTATTCTTTGCTGAGATGTTAAAACCAAAACCACTGGATTTCACTGTGTTTTGTTTTGTTTTTCTTTTTTTTTTTTTTTTCTGTACTAGGGGCTCATTTGTCACAAACCCCTGGCATTCTCTAGCACAGAGCCTTTTGAGGTCAGGAGAGCCACACTGCCTTTGAAGGTTTTCTTTCTTTTATTGTGAGAGGAAGCTTTGCTCATCCTGACCTATGGTTAAAAAGAAATCCTGTTTCTGTCTAGGATACCAAGTCTCATTGCAAAGATTGACTTAGGTGAATTAAGCTTCAGGCAGGAGCAAGCTACTTTTGACAGACAGCTTTTGTTTCAAGTTAATTCCTCAGAATTATAATTTTAATATCATTCTCCTTCCATTCCCACCGGCTTTTCCTTTTCTATACTTCTCCACCCCAGTGAAACTTTGCTTGTTACCTCCCATGGGTGTTTTGCCAAGCTTTTGTTTAATTCTGTGTAATTTGCACGGCAGTCCAGCCAGAGATATATATTTTAGAAATGGTTCCAGAAATTTTCAATGTGTTAGCTATGAATTTTCAGAAATAGAGTCAGTGTTCATTTTAAAGCAGCTTTTTACATTTTTATTACATCTCCCTGCGTTACTAAAACTTTACAAAGAAACCATCAGATATAACTTATTCAGAATACAGGAAGAGTAAGAATCAATATTCATAAAAGATTTAGACAATGATAGGACACTGTAATATCTGATCATGTTTAAAGTTTTACATATCATAGCATATTAAGTTAGTGTCTTATCAATTTTGATGAAATTTGAGAGAAATTTACTCTCCCTCTTTTGGTACCTTCGGTTATCATAGCGATTCAGTCTGTTTTTCTGTGTTTTTCTGTGTGGGAGAAAAGCAATTATTGATGCTTTCCAATCACAATTTCACGGCTTCAGAACTTTGTGATAAATAAATAAAGGCACATTTTATAGTGATTAATATCTCTGTTACTCAAGCTGACAAAATAATAGGCAGAAAGCTATCCTGCGTTATGATATCGATCCTTTCTAAAACATATTAATAAAAGATATTAATGCTTGTTTTATTTATTTTTTTATATATGTTGCTTCATTTTAGGGCGAACCACAGTCCTTGGCCACAATTTACCAGCTCGTCACCCAGGCTTGTGAGCGGATGATTCAGAGTGAGTATAACCAACCTGACTCCCAGGTTTGTCAAAGCCTCTCCAGCAGCAGTGAACAAAACCATACTGGAAGATGGCATGAAGCTGTAGTGAGCCAGGGATCTCCCCTGTCCTGTGCCATACCGAGCACCATGCATAGCTGATGTCCCACCACAGGCTCTCAATGCTACTTTGGTTTATTGGGTGGTATTAGTGCAAAGATTCGTTAAATATTTTTTAGGAAAACCCCTTTTTTCCTTGTAAACGTTCCTTTTCTCTCAAAAGGTAGAGGTTCAGTTATGAAAGAAATGATTCTTCCAGTGATTTGTGTGGATTCCTCTTGAGATGAGTCAGTTTTGGTAAAGCTCCTGTGCTGTGATGCACAAAGAGGAGCGGTGGTTTGCCCAAGGTCAGACAGCAAAACAATGACTCAGCTGTCCATCCTCCTCCTCAGCTTCTGGCTTTCTCAGTTTGAGCTGATAACGTTTTCACACTAAATGGTAGTTTTAAGGAACTTTTTAGGCAACATCCTCAGATTTAGTCTCTTTCCTGAATTCCCCAGGCAAGCAAACTTTCATTTTCTGTCTTGCTTTCTCAGCTCATGTGTTGAAGTTTGACTCATTCATTCACGAACATGCAAGGAAACCAGTTCCTGTTTGGGAAGAAAGGTTAAAGCCAGGAGAACCAGGACCACCAGGTCCTCCAGGTCCCCCTGGGAGCAATGGAGAAAGAGGAGAAAATGGCATCCCTGGCCAGCCAGGAAAAGATGGGTATCCTGGAGAAAGAGGTATGGACAGAAGCATTTATAAGGCTTCTGGCATGGTATGAGCAACAAGAGCCTTGCATAGGACTAAAAAAAAAAAATGGATTAATATAATCTGAAGAAGGGGTACCAGTTATTGCACAAGATTGTGAATGTTGGAAATATATTTTGTTTGGATTTGCAGACATTTACCTGTCAAGATAAAATAAATCTTGGTTTCAGCAGTGACCTAACACCTCTAAGTAACTAGAGAGACACTGTGTCACTCCATGGCAATATTCAGATATAGCTGGGATTTGTGGAGCTTATCAAAATGACGCTGAAAAGAAAAGGAAAGTAACAACCTGCAGATGTTTCCAGCCTGCTGAGTGAGGAGACGGCAGAAGACGGATCTCACTGAGAAACAATCTTAAGGACAGGGCTGATCAAAATATTTTCGTTTTAAAAATAACAAAATAATGGTATTTTGTCAAAATGTACCTTTTCTATTGAGATGTACTGCTTTTGCTAGCAATTTCATGAGAAAACAGTGAAACAGCCTGACTTACTGGTATGTGGTCAATGAGATGATTCATGAGCAATGAATCATGAATAACATGAGAGTGGACCTCATACTCAGCCCAGTGCAGTAACAGTAATGTTTTGAATTTTTCTGTGAAAATCTCCTTTTTCAGCTACTTAAGGCTGCAGATCAATGCTGGATAGAGCACTGTTTGTCATGGACAATTGTTTGCTCTGCAAAAGAGAGTAGGTGCATTGAGAAAATTCAAAGAAATGTGTATTTCTGTTACACAAGAGGTTGTGACCTTCTTTCAGTTCAACTTCTAGGAAGAGCCTGGTGGGGAGGTCATGGGAGTATTAACTGAGGATGAAATGCAAAATGTAGTGAAGTGAAGTGTAGTGAAACTTCTTTGTTTTCTGTGATTAGGTGCCCCAGGACCTAAGGGAGAAAAAGGGATGCCTGGAGTCAACGAGGAAGGGATTCAAGGACCCAGAGGTAGAACAGGTAAATGCAACCTCTCTGCCTTGACCCCAAGGAGCCATTGGAGCTCACTGGCTGCCAGATTCAGAGCATCTTCAGCCTTAGGACCACTGTGGTGGAACTGATCAACCTTCCCACCGCAGCATCCTGGCTGGTTCCTCTCTGCTAAGACACGAGACTGTTCCAGGCAGCCTCCTTCCTTTGGTTCCCATTCTTATGTAACGATGTATTTTAAGGACCTGAAGCACATCCAGGGAGTTTTACTTTTACTGCCTTTATGCATACAAGAACAGATGTTCAAGGGATAGAATCTCTTTGAAAATTCAGCTTGTGAAACACAAGGGTTTCTAAGTAATCTGTTAGGATTTGGTGTGCTCCTCCGTCCTGATCCTTGTTACTTGAAATCAAGGTGGGGTTTACCACCGACTTAACAAAACAGGCACTGATAAGAGAGTGTGGCCAAACATATTCTTCTGTATTTAAATTTTTATAGTTGAGATATAAAGTTACAAAAACTGTGAGTCTGAGATGGATCCTGGAGTTAAGGTGACTTTCTGCATTGATGCTTAAGTGAGCTTGCTTTGGATTCTCATAACCAGGCTTCGTTTTCTGCCAAGCTGGGCACCTTTAAGGTCAAGGATAAGACCTCTGGTTACTGGGATTCAGAAGAGGCCCAACTTTTTTCCCCTAAATGAGGAAACAATATTCAGAAAAGTAGGATGAGGAAAGTATAGAAGAGGTGTTACACCAAAGCAGTGGATGTGCTATGGCTTACTGTGGTTCTCCTTCTTTAGGCCCACCAGGAGAAGTCGTGCTGGGAAAACCAGGTCCAAAGGGTTACCCTGGGAACACGGGGCCTCAAGGTTTTCCTGGTGTCAGGGGACAGCCTGGCCAGTCGGGATATCCAGGTGGTTGTGATATCTCTGGATGTTACGGAGCAGATAGAAGAGGTAAGTCTTGACTATCTAAATGCAAAAGTTATGATTTTGGAACTGGTCACTTCTCTTAACTTAAACAAGGCTGAGACCTTTGTTCATCCTTCAGGCAATGTCAGTCCTGCAAGAGCCTCCTTTGCAATCAGAATGATTCATGTGCAATTAGTCTATTAATGTGGATAAAAGCCAGCTCAATCGGCTACTCCTCGGCTATCCATCATAGATTAACACATAATTGCAGTAGTAGTTGAGCAGGTGGAGTGATCTTGAGGTGTCTTCTATTCTTAATGTCCCTGACAGTGTTTCCATGTTGGAGAGAGAGTAAAAAATACCTCGGTGCCTACATATATATTTCATGGAGGCTCAGTTGTACAAAGTCCTGGAAAATGAATTAAACCACTGGCACTAGGCAAAAGATTTACAAGGGAAAATAATTAATTCTGCACCATTCCTTCTCAGTACGTGACACTGATTTATTCTCTTGCTCAGTGGCCTCATCTCGTTTCCCCACACAGATTTCATCCCCTGATGGCTGATGCAGAGGCAGCTGAGGACAGTTCTCTTCCCTGGAAACCTCTGGGCTGAAAGCGCCACATGGTCTAAGAGCAGCAGCCACCTGAACACCAAATGCCTTGTTTGTTTTTTTAATGTCTTATCATTTCTATAAGGACATGTCAATCAAACACTGCAGCCAGCAAACCAGCCTGCGTACGGATGAGTCCCAGGCATCTTGCTCTGTTTTTCAGCACTGGATGACTGCAGTGCTCAAACTCACATGGCATGTCCAACAGCAAGGCAAACACAGCCAGAGGTGCAGGATGACAGACTTGTAAGAAAAAGAAATAATGTATTGAATGATTCTGATTCTACAAAACGCTCAGAAATAACAGATTTTTTTCCCATTTGTCTGTCTGTGGTTTATTTTTGTCACTTGTTATTCTGTGTCCCCAGCACAGAGAAAAACAGCACCTCATGCCTGAAGATGCAAAACATCCACCGAAGCAAAACTGAGTTGTGTGTTGGTTGACAAGGTAACAAAATCTAGTGCCATTTGGGCTGTTTCTGCTCCTGACAAATGGCTGATGGCTTCCTTGCAGTGGTGTTACGTGCACGAGCACTGCAGACAGGGTGATAACCTTCCCGTTATGTGACAAACCCAAGCATTTAGCCTCATTCTCTGGGGCTTGATAACTGTCAAGCAAAGCTTTCGATCAGGCCTGCTTGTACACAGCCATGTCCAGCAAGGAGCTGGAGATTAACCTACTGGCTTTTTCCACCTGTGCCTCCCGCAATCGGAGTAGCTACTTTACATTTTATCAGGTAGAATATTGAATAGCTCTGAGTCAGACTTCTATCTATATGACATGGAGGTAATTGCAGTGTTACACCCCTTTCCTTGCATGAGCCATAGTCTAACGTGGATCCACAACAAAGTGTATAGATGCAGATAGAAATGTACGTCCTTTGCAATCGCTGTGTGATGTGCTCTGTTACACCCGTTGTGAACTGCTCCTGCTGCCAAACTGAACTGGGATCTACACCTGGAGGAACACAATATTTCATGTTTCTAAAATTAAAACAGCACAACCTATCAGCATAATTTTTTTTTAAAGATGCTAAGAGGCAAAATATAGAGTGTGATGCATATTCGTCTGCACCTGATTTGGATGTGCAATTTGTTGCAGCTACATGAAGCTGGGTATTCATATAGCAGTAGCCAGCCTTCAAAAACTTAAACACATTTATATTTAGAAACAGAATTGTCAGATAAATACTGAAGAGGTTTGCCTTAAGAAAATGAAGCTGTTTAGATACTGATTCCAAATGTTGCTTCTTGACATTGTGAAAAAATCCTATAGAATTTAGAAATTTTGCTAAAGTATTTGAACATATCGGATGCGTATAGGATTTACCCTAAAACAAAAGACACATAAAGATACTACTTTAAATACTTACAGAATGCAGTAACTGTTCTTGGCTTAATTTATGTTAATTCTCTAGCAACTCCCAAGAATTAATATTTTCACTATGACATATGGTGCCTTTGGGAAATATAGGAAAAACCAGAGAACTACCACGCTGATAGAATTAATGTTTCTGTTCACTTTGGAGCTCTCCAGGCTTGCATTGAAATATAAAATAAAAATCTTCCCAGCTTTTGCTAGATGTTACCATGGGCAAAGCTCCAGCCAGAAGAAAAAGGAGAGGTCGGAGGAGCTGAAACATACAGCACGTTGTGAAAGAAGTGCTGCGAGGAGCTGCATTTATTGGGATAGACACCTTGTGTGCCTGTTGTGGAGTTGTAGGTGTTTCCATTTACACAGGTCAAAGAGCTTTTGACTTATGCTTCTCCCATTCTTTGAAAAAAATGAAGATACTCTGAAAATAGACCTATGAAGCCTGCATTAAGCTGCATGCAGAATGCTTCTGTGTTTGTGTCTGGGTATCAGACCTAACACCTGTGGAACTGGAAGAGCAAAGTAATGGGCAGGAAAGGCAAGGAGGCGAAAGGGGTACCCTGCGTGGCAGAACCTAAACTTGATCCCATAAAACACCCACAAACTGGAAAAAATGATTCAGTGTGCAACATCTGTGTTTTGCACATAATTACGCTTTTGATGTAAATTAGGGCAGCCAAACTCCCAGTTCTGATCTTGTATTTCTGTCAGATCAAACCTACTAACTGGAGGTGATTTGTCACAGGGCTCCTTCATTTTGCTTGATCAATTAGCTCTGAAAGCGACTAACATCATCTCACCGGACACCTTGCCCAGCCCAAATTGCACTTCCCTCCTCTGCCAGTGAATACAGAAACCAGCTGTTTGTGGATATTAATATTCCCTTAGCTCTTTGCTAAATGCAACCTGTTGCTTTCCCTGTTGTGCTGTTCCTTGGTATGCTTCAGACTTTTCTGGCCCAATTTATCACTTTTAATGCAAGCTGCAGTTAAAAGCAGTGGCATGCATAGCAATGAAGTACTAAAAACTCCCTTGCAGATTTTTTCCTTAGTAGGGACTTCACTCTCAAAGCGTTTATCACTACAGATAAAAGTTGGGATATTAATTTTTCTGGATTTAATCCTGTTTTCTGGACAACTCTGATTTAATCTCAGTGCATAAATTTAGCATGCAAAATCCCACCAGTTCCTACTTTTTCCTCACCTTTGCAAACCAGTGCCTGTTTACCTACGTTTTTGTTCAGCAACCCTTAAGGAAAGATTTTGTGCTGATTTGCTCATTCTTAGTACTGCCCTTACACTATCTGTTATACAGACTTTATTTTCCACACAGTGTGTAGTGTGATATCACATCCTTAGAGTTTCTTACATCTTTAAAGCTTCCATCCTCCTGTCTTTAAATTAAGATACATTTGGATTTTTTTTATTCTTACTGCAGAATTTGACCTACCTGGTGAAAATGGATTCTGGCAGAGGCTGAGGACCTTTCATAGACAGATTATTTTGCCACAAGCATCATAATAAGGCATTAAACCAGCCTCAGGGGTAGGATGAGATAAGCACAGAGAACTCACTAGCAGCACTGCTAACAAGCAGCTCTGAGAAAGCTTTCTCCAGGACTCAGGACTTTGGCTTGCCCAAATATAAAGGGCTGGAGACCAAAAAGGTTTCATGGGTGGAGACAAAATACCTTACAAAAAGGCATCACTGCAGCAAGGCAGAGCCCATAGGGGCTATCAAGGCAGGTGGGGCTGTCACAGGAGGTTTTCCTTAGCACTGGATGTGTTTTCCATCTCACAGGTGTGTCTGTCTGTCTCTGCACAACTGGCTTTGAGTCTAGTTTCTAGAGAAATGCCTGGAGAGAAGCTTATGCAAAGGGGATGTGCTATAGGTTATGTGAATTAGCTCACTGGAGAATGAGGTGATATCGTGGACGACAGCCCTGAAAACAGCTGGAGAAGTGGGAATTACATAGCTCATCCTACCAGCCAGCTGCAGATGAAATATCCTGAGCCCCTTATGGCTGGGAAGATGACCCAGACAAAGTAAGTATTTGGCAACCAGAGGAACCAGAGGGAAGGGGATGGAAGGGAATTCAAAAAAAAAGAAAAAGGTTGTAAGTGAGGTGATTGCAGGCAGGTTTCTGTGCCTTTGGTCTTCTTCCACTTGCGGTCAGTGGAGCTGTATTGGTGGGAAAGCATAAACCACCATGGTGAGGCTATGATCTCCACAAGCACAACAGCAATCAGCCTCTGTGTTTGCTTTTTGTGATATCTTTAGTTTTGCATTTTCTGGTCCTAAAAATCAGGTATTTTGCTCCAGGTTTTGCCCAAGACAGCTTTAGAGTTCCTGTTGTATCCATCTTGTTTCCTCACCCTTCTGAAGTCAGCTTGGTCAGTCAAGTCCTGGGGATCAGTTCTGAGCTGGGAATGTTACAAAACAGCCTGGCTATGCACTTTTTAATTTTTTTTATATATTTTTATTTTTTTTTTCCCTGGAGCCTTTCATATGTTAAAATCTCTTGTTCTGTTTCATGGATTTTGAATAGCAGAATTATTCATTTTTCTACACTTAGTCTGATTCATGTCCCAGTTTTATTCCAGTTTCTGATCATTGAATCCTACGGAGGAATATCATCCTCTTTAGTAACCTCCAGGATGGAATAATCTGTCCAAGAGAGAGAGCTGGGGCTTGGTTCTTATTTCCCTCCCTTAAATGTTACTAACAGGCACAGCAGAAGCAGAAAGCAAGACTTTATTTGAACTTTAAACTGGGGGAATATTAAAGGTGAGAAGAAATGGAGTTGCCAGTGTATGAGAAGTGTTACGATGTTAGCAGCACCAGTGGAAACCAGTGACCTGTGTTATCCAAGCTTCTTCCCAAATGCCAGCAACGTCTTTGTAACCGGTTTCAGCTGTCACTTCTCATCTTGTTCTGCCAAATGCTGTGATCCCGCAGCATCGCTGAGTCTTCAGGGATGCAGCCCCATCCTTAGCATTCCTAATCACACCTGGGATGCTGATGTGCTAATGGAGCGGATGTGTGTGGGCAGCCCAGTGCGGCAGGGCTGTTCTGCCAGGCTCTGAATTACGTTTTTGTGCCCTTGCCAGGCTGTCCTGCTCCTCTGCTGTCACAGTGCAGTGCTACCCTGGAGATGCTGCTGTTTGCGTGGTGTGCACTGGTAATAACCAGGTTTGGTTTTGTTTGTTTTTATTTATTTTATTTTTTTTTTCAGAAGAGGTGGTGATTTGAGCTGGCCCCTTTGCAGTGAACAACGTGCAGTTTATACCTTCTCCTACTGAATTTCACAACATGCCACCCTAAATATTTGGCTCTTATATCTGCCCTTAAACCTTCATCAGCTCTACTGCTACCCCCAAACCCTTCCTCTCTGCTAGGCAGGGACCTACCACAGCTCTTGCCATGCAGCCACCATCACCCCTGCATCCACAGGAGCAGGGACCCAAGCTGCTGGCCACTCTCCATCCTCTCTCAGACAGCCTGGGTGGTTTTATTGCCACAGGTGTGCGCGCACAGCCGAGCCTCCCACCTGCACCACTGTCACTGCTGCTCGGGGGCTGGAGGAGGAGGCTGCACAGCGAGCTCTGAGCAGCCATGGTGGGCACAGCAGTGCCCAGGGTCAGAAATCCTCCCACTTTCCCTGATTATTTCATCCGTGCACTTGAACTGTGAGCTCAGGCTGCCTGTGCAAGAGCAGCTTGTCTGCCTACAGACCGCAGCGCGTCCCCCTCCGCATGCCGCCGCCTCCACGCCGGCTGCAGCTGCATTTGTACATGGATGCACTAGACCTTGAAGATGTTTGACTGTTTGTTTTCCTTTCCTTGCCATAAGCAAGCTCGCTGACTGTGAAAAGGGATAAATTAGCATCTCCAAAGAGCGAGTCTCTTTATTTTTTCTGAAAACAAGCAAAGAGCCAGCAGGCTCGC